CTCAGGCTTCTGAGTAGTTGGGACTACAGGTGTACACCACCATACTCAGCTAATGTTTTTTAATTTTTAGTAGAGATGAGGTCTCACTATGATGCCCAGGCTGGTCTCAAACTCCTGTGCTCAAACAGTTCTCCCTTGGCCTCCCAAAGTCTTGGGATTACAGGCATGAGCATCTATATCTAGCCTAGTTGGGATTTTTAAAGTGCAGTTGAAAGCTTTTGAAGAGTTTATGCAATGACATGACTCAAAATACTTAATAGTATCAATCAGTGGAATTGAAGAGAAGCCATAAGTGGGAAACTCAAACGAGATTGTTGCATACTCCAAAAGATCATGTTGGATTGGATTGAGGTGATGGAGATAGACAGAGATGAATGGATTTTGTGTTATATATTGAAGGTAGTATTGACAGGGCATGCGATGAATCAGGTATTGGTAATCAGGAAGAAGGAAGATAAGTAACCATTACCTATTTCCCAAGGACAGTCCTCAGCATTGGAAAAGAACTCTAAATATAACTGCCATTTAGTTTCTGGTATTTTGACTAGATCAGATTTAAAAAGTTAAGAATGAGGGGCCAGGTGCGGTGGCTCCCACCTGTAATTTCAGCACTTTGGGAGCCCAAGGTGGGCAGATCACCTGAGGTTGAGGGTTCAAGACCACCCTGGCCAACATGACGAAACCCTGTCTCTACTAAAAACAAAAATTAGCTGGGTGTGGTGGCACACTCCTGTAATCCCAGCTACTCAGGAGGCTGAGGCAGGAGAATCACTTGAACGCCGGAGGTGAAGGTTGCAGTGAGCCAAGATCACACCACTGCACTCCAACCTGGGCAACAGAATGAGACTCTGTATCAAAAAAAAAGAAAAAAGAAAAAAACATCAAAAGAAAGTAATGGTGAAAAGGTGCTCAGTTGCCTTAATTCAGATTTCATTGTTTACCTGGACCTTTTCTCAGAACATTGATGGTAGCCAAAATGGAAGGGGCATTGGATGGCTGGATAAAGGATTTTAGGTTTCATTCTGTTATACTATCCATAGACTTAACTGTAGGTATTACTATATATAGATCTAGTCTCCAGAAAGACCAAAGCATGATTAGAAGATTGAGGCTTTGAACCTCATCCCCCAATCTCCAGGAGGGGAGAGAGGCTGAGGGTTTATTAATCACCAGTGGCCAGTGATTTATTTAATAATGCCTGTTTAATGAAGCCTCTATAAAAGCCCAGTAGGACTGGTTTTAGAGAGCTTCCAGATAACCAAGTGGACGTTCTTGGAGGTTGATGTGCCTAGGGAAGGAATGCAACCTTTGAGCCTGCTACCCAATACCTTGCTCTATGCTCCTCTTCATTTGCATCCTTTAAAATATCCTTTACATTGAAATAAACCAGTAAATATAACTGTTTCCCTGAGTTTTGTGAGCTACTTTAGCAAATTAATCAAATCCAAGGAGGGGGTCATGGGAAGCCTGATTTATAGGCATTTGGTTGTAAGCATAGGTAAAATAACCCGTACCTGCAATTGGCATTAGAAGTAGGGGGCAGTCTCACAGGGCTGAGCCATCAACTGTGGGATCTGATACTGTCTCCAGGTAAACAGTGTTGAAGGTGAATTGGGGAACACCCATCTGGTGTCCAGTGTGGAACTGATTGATTATCGATGGGAAGAAATCACCATACTTCTTGGTGACGAAGGTGACAGCAGTGGTTTGTGTTGTGAGAATGTAGTATGAGAAACAGTTTATTCCTGTATTCTCACACTCACCTTTTGTGAATTATTGTAGCCTATGTGTGAATTATTGTAGCCTAACTGCAAATATTTAGTAAACTAACTCAAAATGGATAGGTGCTTTAAAAGGGGTTGATAATAAATACAAATGAACTAGATAATGGTTAAATATATATTTACTGCTAGTAAAAACTGTTGACCATGTGACAAAACAGAAACAGTTATTTAATAGATCTGACAAGAAGTTTCCCTCTTAAAAAGTTCAGTTATTAAACAGATAACTTTTTTAAAAAATTAGATATGGGAGTCTCACTGCATTGGCCAGGCTGTCTTAAACTGCTGGGCTCAAGTGATCCACATGCCTTAGCTTCCCAAAATGCTAAAATTAAAGGCTTGAGCCAAGTATATTGGGTCTTAAAATTCAAACGTTTAAAAATTTGCTTATGTTATCTTCTTATAAGCCTTTTCTATTTCAGCATGTGTTTTATATGCATTAATATATTAATATATTCTTATATATGATATATAAGTGAATTGAAGTACAGTCAAAAATATTTTGGAGATCACTGTTCATGAGGCCACTTTGCAGAAGGCTTAAGAAGATGACTTGGGAATGTAGGAAGCCTGAGTGGGTACCCTGATGCTTTAACCAGCACTGACCAGAGTAGCTCTATTTTTATCATTTTTATATATGGAGGTTCTCAGTAAATTTTTTTCTGTAGAAGGGGTTCTGATTTTTTTAAAAAATGTTTGAAAACTTTTGTGGATGACGAGAGACACTGAAAGGTTTTTTTGTTTGTTTGTTTTGAGACAAAGTCTTACTCTGTCACCAGGCTGGAGTGCAGTGGCACGTTGTCGGCTCACTGCAACCTCTGCCTCCCGGGTTCAAGTGATTCTCCTGCCTTAGCCTCCAAGTAGCTGGGACTACAGACGTGTGCCATCACGCCCAACTAATTTTTGTATTTTTAGTAGAGATGGGGTTTCACCTTGTTGGCCAGGATGGTCTTGATCTCTTGACCTCATGATCCACCTGCCTTGGCCTCCCAAAGTGCTATGATTACAGGCATGAGCCACTGCTCCCGGCTGAAACTGAAAGATTTTAAACAAAGGAGTGACTTGATAGAATTTTAGACTAACTCTGGTAGCAAGTTGCTCTTCCAGAAAGAATAGCCAGGAAGAAGATAGAACACAGAGTTCCAGCTATTTTTACCTGATTACGCAGAAAATAAGAAATACTAATCTGAGGCCTTGATTAATTAAAGAATATTTTTCATTTACTGTTTAAAGCCAAAAAGTACTGAAATGTTCCCATTTTCAAAACTTTGTCTTTGATCTGGGGATGACTTTTAGATTTTATTTCTTCACGTCAGGTCATAATATTTATAAGTACTAAACAAATTATTGAATATAAGGTGTTTTATAGATTATATTTTTGGTAGAGTATAAACTCAATTTGTGCGTATTTTTTTGAAAAAGTTTTAGCCATATTAAACTTTAATTGTTATATATCCTTCAAAAATTGTTTATTTCAGCCGAGCGCGGTGGCTCAAGCCTGTAATCCCAGCACTTTGGGAGGCCGAGGCGGGTGGATCACGAGGTCGAGAGATCGAGACCATCCTGGTCAACATGGTGAAACCCCGTCTCTACTAAAAGTGCATAAAATTAGCTGGGCATGGTGGCGTGTGCCTGTAATCCCAGCTACTCAGGAGGCTGAGACAGGAGAATTGCCTGAACCCAGGAGACGGAGGTTGCGGTGAGCCGAGATCGCGCCATTGCACTCCAGCCTGGGTAACAAGGGCAAAACTCCATCTCGGGAAAAAAAAAAAAAAAAAAATTGTTTATTTCATTTGAGTATTACAGTGTTTTTAGTGTTTAAAAACGTGTGTGAGGCCGGGCGTGGTGGCTCAAGCCTGTAATCCCAGCACTTTGGGAGGCCGAGGTGGGTAGATCACGAGGTCAAGAGATCGAGACCATCCTGGTCAATATGGTGAAACCCCGTCTCTACTAAAAATACAAAAAAAAATTAGCTGGGCATGGTGGCACATGCCTGTAATCCGAGCTACTCAGGAGGCTGAGGCAGGAGAATTGCCTGAACCCAGGAGGCGGAGGTTGCGGTGAGCCGAGATCGTGCCATTGCACTCCAGCCTGGGTAACAAGAGCGAAACTCCGTCTCAAAAAAAAAAAAAAAAAAACGTGTGTGGAGGCTGGGTGCAGTGGCTCACACCTGTAATCCCAGCACTTTCGGAGGTGGAGGCGAACAGATGGCTTGAGCCCAGGAATTGGAGTTCCAGACCAACTTGGGCAAAATGGTGAAACTCTGTCTCTACAAAAACTTAATGTGGCATAGTTTGTATACCTGTAGTCCCAGCTACTTGGGAGGCTGAGGTGGGAGGATTGCTGGAGCTTAGAAGGTCAAGGCTGTAGTTAGTCGTGATTGTACCCCTACACTCTAGCTTGGTGACAGAGCGAGACCCTGTTTCAAGGAGGAAACAACAACAACAGAATATATATATGTATATTTGTGTGTGTGTGTGTGTGTGTGTGTGTGTGTGTGTGTGTGTTATTTTAAATCTAAACCTTAGTTTCTAATACAAGGATTGACAACCTTCTAGCGTGACTAACCTTTTGGTAGGCATATAATTGAAGACATTCTAGGAGGCTGCTTACCTAAACCTTGGGTTAATTTTTCTGCAGCCTAAGGTACTGAACTGGCGGCTGTTGGAAGCTCTTATAAATAAGAGCAGATAGCTTTGTTTCACCATGGTGCTGCATTTCTTAAGATCCTGAAGTCTTTAACAGATTTTAAAAAAAAAAAAAAAGGCAAAAATAGAGTTAAGTCTTAACCTATTTTCGGGTATTAGTTAGCTCACTTTTAACCAACTCAAAGGGAAGGATAAATATGTAGGTGGTTAGTGAATGAAACAGCTGGTTTTCTGGAAGCAACAGAAAGTAGATGGTTGGCATTTCTCTGTGTTACAGTTTTGGCCAAGAATGGCTAGCATTTTATAAATTTAATTTGGATAATGAATCAGAGCCTACTAACCTGTTTTAATATTTTTTTGTTTTAGAAAATTGCTCAATGTCATTTTTAGTACCAGAGTTACTATTTTATTGCCAATATATTACTAATAATGCCAATCAAATATACATTAATTACTCTTATCCCAGGCATTTGTCATTGCTGTGCTGTTTCCAGTCCTCTTGATTTTTATTTATACTTTGTAGATATTTCTTTTCTAGTATGATGATGTAGAAACATTTATTTTTAAACAGGATACATTAATTGTTTGGTCAGAAGCAGAGAACTATGATTTGGCTCTGAGTTTTCAGGAAAAAGCTGGCTGTGATGAGATCTGGGAAAAAATATGTCAGGTAAGTTGTTTTTTTTTTAATATTTAACTTAACATTTGCATCTTTTCTTGAATTTTTGTTCCTTTTTACTTCAAATGTATGTATTAGGATGTGGAGAGATTGCCTTAGTGTGAGACTTGATAATTTAACTTGAAATTGTTTATATTCTACAGTAAATTATTTTAAATTTTTTATAAACAACTTTGTCATAGTTTTGTTTTACCACTTTAGATTTTGATAGCATATGCTCATATAATACATTATATTATAGAATGGCAAGTACTTTAAACAAACTAAAAGAAGATTAATTAAGCCAGGCTTTTAGATTTAAAAAATAAATACTTGGTCATACATTTACCTAATGTTTATGAATACCATACCAGGCACTAATGTTCAACAGTATTCATGAGTTCAGTTTATGTAGAACTTAAAATGTGGCAGGATATGTAGAATGTTTGGTAACTCTTAACTAACTGGAATTTTTAAAAAGAAACCTTTTGTTTTAGAATAGTTTTAGATTTACAGAAAATGTAGCTATAATGCAGAAGATAAAGATCTTTTATTTAGAACTAGGGTGTTGATTTACATATCTGCTAGAACATAAATTTATATGGTGGATAATTTATTCTAGTGATTACTATATTAAATTATACCTTGTCCCATTCTACCACCCCGCCCCCATATGTCAACACTTACTTTTTAATATATGTTCTTGGATATAAATGTATTTGTCCAGCTGGACACGGTGGCTCACACCTGTAATCCCAGCACTTTGGGAGGCCAAGGTGGGCAGATCACCTGAGTTCAGGAGTTCAAGACTAGCCTGACTACCACGGTGAAACCTTGTCTCTACTCAAAATACAAAAATTAGCTGGGTGTGGTAGCACGTGCCTGTAGTCCCACCTGCTAGGGAGGCTGAGGCAGGTGTGTAACTCAAACCTGGGAGGTGGAGGTTGCAGTGAGCCGAGATTGTGCCACTGCACTCCAGCCTGGCAGAATAAGACTCTGTTTCAAAAAAAAAAAAAAAAGTATTTGTTCTAGAAATTTTTGTGGAAATTTATTACTATTTTCACTTAGGTGGTTCAGGAGGTCTCTAAGACCACTCTCGGTTTCCATAATTCTGGAAAGACTCACAGCATCCAGCATACCTGTTACACTCACAGTTTATTATAGCAAAATGATGCAGATTGAAATCACCAATGGGAAAAGGTGCATAGGTTAGAGTCTAGGAGAGTTTCAGGCTTAAGCTTCCAATTCTCTCTCCCAGTGGAATCATGCAGACAGCACTTACTTCTAGCAGTAATATACGGCAGCACACATTCAGTATTGCCAACTAGAGAAGTTTACCCAAACCTTTGTTTCTAGGGTTTTCACTGGGGATTAGGGTTCACATAAGCATGGCTGACTGCCTGTGTAGCTGACCTTATTCCAGCACCTCCAGAGGTCAAGGATATCTTGCGGTCCAAGGCCCCCACCTTAAACCACTTGTTAGCATAGCATGTCTGGCATAGGTGGGGGCCCCCAGGCAAACAAAAACACTATTATGAAGCAGAATATTCTGAGTGCTTAGAGTTTACCTCTCTGGAACTAGACAAGGGCCAAACTTTTCCTTTGGCAAGGTCAGTCCTTTACTGCACAGGCCATTCCTTGACGAAGACTGTCTTACACCAAAATGATTATATTTGTGTGAGCATCTGCATTTAGCATAGATGCTCCCACAGATGGAAAAATAATATCAGTATGAATATACCTAGCATTTGGGGCCAGTATGGAGTAGAGATAGGTTTAAAGAAACAACTAACTTTTCCTAGACATAACTTTTATGTTTTTGTACTACTTTGATTTCTTATTCTCCTTGATTTGCAGATTGTACCTTATGATAAACTCGTACAGAACTGTATACCATAGAAACTGATAAGCAACAAAATCAAGCTTTTTCTCAGTCCAGTTGTTTTTTTTTTTTCTTTTTTTCTCTTAGGTTTCAAACCATGATCCTGTAGGGCCAGTGACTTTCTTTTTCTTTAGTTTACTTTTATTGTTCAAATAACTGCAGCATGGACCAGTGATTTTTCTATCAGCATTATATCCTCTGGATGCTCTAACTCAATCTCCCAATACATTTGATCATCTCTAAGAGTATTACCATAAATTTACATAGGAGGTGGTTGAATCAACAATAATAGTGTTACACCATATCATAGTATGGTAGTAGATATAACCTGGCATATTACTAGAATCCCACTTAGTCATTAACAGTTGGTCTGGTTTATCCTCATATTGTATGACAAAATGTCTCCCAGAGCAGCGTCACTCTTCAAAGCTTACAGGCTCCCATTTGACTTTGTTAGGTTCTAAGAGAAGGGTTGCTCTTGGCAGACCTATTGCTTCACCCTTCCAGGATCTGATAACTGAGCTAAGAGACAGTGTCATCACTTGCCTTCATCCTTTCTTGAGGCATCAGTGTTTTGGGGTTTTTTGTTTTTGTTTTTGTTTTTGTTTTTGTTTTTGTTTTGAGACATGGTCTGGCTCTCGCCAGGCTAGAGTACAGTGGTGGGATCTCAGCTCACTGCAACCTCTGCCTCCCAGGCTCAAGGGATTCTCCCACTTCAGCCTTCCTGATAACTAGGACTACAGACCTGTGCCACCATGCCTGGCTAATTTTTGTATTTTTTGTAGACGTTAAGTTTCACCATGTTTCACAGGCTGATCTTGAACACCTGAGCTCGTGATCCACCCACCTCAGCCTCCCAAAGTGTTGGGATTACAGGCATGAGCCACAGCGCCCAGCTTAGGCACCAATGTTAATACTGGATTTTCTTTGCTACATTACTCATTTTTTCATTCCTTTGCCCTCTGTTACTGTTTCTTCTTTCCATTTGTCATTGATTTTTATTTTATTTTTATTCTTGTCATTGATTTTTATTCAAACTTGTCCACCTTTGGAAGGGATATTAGATGTAGCCACTCTGATGGTCCAGAAAAGTTAACTCTTTACTGCACAACACAGTACTCCTTTAAATCTGTGCATGTTGCTGAATATATAGTTTTTGCTCCAAACTACTGCATGAACTACTGCATGATTATTTCACAAAATCATATGTTATGTTTTAGTTTTTCAGTTCTGGGAAGTCATTGCTGATCTTTGAAAGAACAATTTCTATTTTATTAAGAGCCATATTACTTAGTTATTTCTTAATCTCTTATAATAAGAAATAGTGCAAAACAGTTTTTCTGCAAAAGTTTGATGGTTCAGAGAGTTCAGAGTGTCTTAAAGGGAATGGGGAATGATGAATAGAAGGAACCATTGGAGAGAAAGAAATTATAAAAACAAGAGCCAAGATAATTTTTATATGTTGAGCTTTCAGAAAGCGTTAAATGTAGAATTACCTTTCGAAATGTTAACCTTAGGAAATGGTATGAACATTTTCTTTGAAATCAATGAAGGAAATGCCTGAAGGTAAATTGTGAGATAGAGAAATGTTAGAGGAAGTTGAGTACCGATGGACTTTTTAGTCAAAGGAAGAAGCCTTCACATCTTCTGAGACTTAAAGGTGAATGTAATGTTTGAGAAGTTGGGAAGTGAAAAAAAAAATTAAAGTAGCAGCTGTAAGGGACAACAGTAGGATTATGGAATAGAGAACTTTAATTGAAAAACCCTATTGATAGTGTGAATTTATGGTGAACCCATACAGCACAGTTCATTGGCTGTCTTTAAGATGTTGTGATCAGATTGTGTTGTAGTAATATGATCCTAAAATGTCAATGGCTTGCCATAACAAAAGTTGATTTCTCCTTAATGCTGTTTGACCAACTGGGGAAGGGGCCCTACTCATCAGAGTCATTCAGGGACCAAGCTGGAAGGGAATGTATTTTATTTTATTTCTTTCTATTCTATTTATTTTATGTTAATGTTATTTTTTGAGACAGTCTTGCTCTGTCACCCAGACTGGAGTACAATGGTGCAATCTCAGCTCACTGCAACTTCTGCCTCCTGGGTTCAAGCTATTCTCCCGCCTCAGCCTCCCAAGTAGCTGGGATTGCAGGTGCGTGCCACCACACTCAGCTAATTTTTGTATTTTTAGTAGAGACAGGGTTTCACCGTGTTGGCCAGGCTGGTCTGGAACTCCTGGCCTCAAGTGATCCACTAGCCTCAGCCTCCCAAAGTGCTGGGATAATAGGTGTGAGCCACCACACCCAGCCGAGATTTCATTTTAATACTTCCAAAATCATTGCAAAGTGAGAAGGAAAGATGGTGAATCAGAGGACCGGCTTTTAAAAGTTCTGCCCTGAAGTTAAACAGGACACTTTTGTTCACATTTCTTTGGCTAAAGCAAGTTACACAACTATAGGTCTTCATGGAGACAAAGAAATCATCTCTCTTAAAAGGGAGATAATGAGAAATACTTCGTAGAGAGCACTGATACTATCTATATAGATATTTAGGTTTCTGTGGGATTGACATGTCAGATCAATGAAAGTTAATTAGTAGGGAATCCAGGAAGCTTACAAGGATTAGTACTAGATAACGTAGAAATAAACATTGTAATTTAGTAAAGGCTTCTAGAGTTGTGCTTTTATTCTTAAACATATGCAAACTATATTCATTTGAAGTGTAAGTTAACTCATCTGATTTCTACTTATTCTTTCTGTATCACCTATGATTCTTCTTCTTCCTTCCTCCCTCACACTTTGCTTCTCTTTTTCTCAATACTGCCATAGTTTGGCTTTAATCCATATTTCTCTCTTCTGCTCTGTTGTTTTTCCTGAGTAGTAAGACCACAGATTTAGTTGCCAGCTGAATATTCAAACACCTCAACCTTAATAAAACTAACCTCTAACAGCTATTCTTCCCCATTGTTCTCATGTTTTGTTAAAGGAGTTGTAATCCTTCTAAAGAAAGGTTTAATAATATAGGGTGTCTTATGATTTCTTCACTGTTGTAGCTTTCTCTAATCTTTCCCATCACTATCCAAGTTCAAGTAGTACCTGTAGACTTTAGAATAACACTCTAAAATTCATCTCTGTTTTTAAATTTATCCCATAGGACCAATGCCAGATTAAATTCCTAAAGGATAGGCCTGCACATTCACTTCCCTACACAATAACTTAATGTTTTAACTTGTTATTTCATGTTCCGGCTACAGTCTACATTTGTAGTTTTCGTGTTTGCCACATTCATGTCATATATTTCCATCTCTCTGTTTCTGGGCTGTTCCCCTTCAGCTTTGAGTACCTTTATCTCCTATCTGAATCTTATCTGTCTTTGAAGGTCCATTCAAGATCTCAAATGCCACTGCTCTTAGGATTTTTTTTCAGCTGCCTCCACCTCAATTTCACAAAGAATTAGTAGGAAATTTTTCTCAATTTCACAAAGATCCAGTAGGAAATTTTTCTCAATTTCAGTGGTATTTTATCTAAACCACTGTTAAGAGTTCAGTACTTACACTTTCTCTTACATTAATGTATCAGTTTCCCTAGGCCCATCTACTCTGTTGAGAACTCAGAGGTAAAAGTATGTCATTCATTTAGGAATTCATGTACTTCTTTCTCTAAGTTTTTAATCTACTTTGTGCTTTTAAATATTTTTTCATGTTTTGCTTTCGTGGATTAGGAGGTTTGTGAAACTTTTTCTACTCATGATATTTGAGAATTTTGAGGTAGAGAAGAATGAGAATAGTTGCACTGTTGGGTTAGAAATTACTTTTTTTTTTTTTTTGAGACTGAGGCTCACTCTGTTGCCCAGGCTGGAGTGCAATGGCATGATCTTGGCTCACTGCATCCTCTGCCTCCCAGGCTCAAATGATTATTCTGTCTCAGCCTCCTGAGTAGCTGGGATTACAGGTGCGTACAACCACGCCCAGCTAATTTTTGTATTTTTAGTAGAGACGGGGTTTTACCATGTTGGTCATGCTGGTCTTGAACTCCTGACCCCAAGTGATCCACCTTCCTCGGTCTTCTAAAGTGCTGGGATTACAGGCGTGAGCCACCATGCCTGGCCAGAATTACCTTTTTGAGATAGGGTCTCACTCGGTTGCCTAGGCTAGAGTACAGTGGCAAAATCACAGCTCACTGCAGCCTCAAACTCCAATGCTCTAGTGATCCTTCTGTCTCAGCCTCCCAAATAGCTGGGACTACAAGCACGCACCAGCACACCCATCTAATTTTTTTTTTATTTAGAGACAGTGTCTCACTATGTTGCCTAGGCTGATCTCGTACTCCTGGTCTCAAGCAATCCTCCTGCCTCTGTCTCCCAAAGAACTGGTATTATAGGTGTGAGCCATTGTGCCAGCTAATTTTATTTATTTAATTTTTTTTAAGAGACGGGGTCTCCCTCTATTGCCACTGGAGTGCATTGATGCAATCATAGTGTTCTGTATCCTCAAACCCCTGGGCTCAAGTGACCTCCTGCCTCAGCCTCCCAAGTAGCTGGGACCACACGTGCGTGCCACACACCTGGCTTAGGAATTAGAAAAATTTCGTGAAGAGTACATTTCTAAACTTTTTTTTTTTTTTTGAGACTGTCATCCAGGGTGGAGTACAGTGACTTGATCTTGGCTCACTGCAACCTCTGGCTCCCGGGTACAAGCGATTCTTGTGCCTCTGAACATTTTTGTTGTTGAGTAATTTTTTATAGAAAATTTATGTCAGCCATGCTTATCTTGAGCTGTCAATCTGAATCATAAAAGCGTTATTTGTTATGTTGTGATTTTTATCTAGATATTAGAACTTGGGGGCTTTATCATAGATGTTAAATGAATGCCTGATTTTTAAAAAACAGATTTTTTTTCTTTTTTTTTTTTTAAGATGGAGTTTTCCTCTTGTTGCCCAAGCTAGAGTATGATGGTGCGACCTTGGCTCACTGCACCCTCCGCCTCCCAGGCTCAAGTGATTCTCCTGCCTCAGTTTCCAGAGTAGCTAGGACTTTAGGCATATGCCACCACACCTGGCTAATTTTTGTATTTTTAGTAGAGACAGGGTTTCACCATGTTGGCGAGGTTGGTCTCAATCTCCTGACCTCAGGCAGTCCACCTGCCTCGGCCTCCCAAAGTGCTGGGATTACTGTGTGAACTACTGCACCTGGCCCATAGTATTTTTTAGAGCAGTTTTAGGTTCATGGCAAAAGCAAATATTTTTTCAGAAGTCAACTTCAAAAGTAATTTGAGGAAGGAGACTGTGTTTTCTCACTCTGAATATACAGGAATAGGTTTTTTGGTTTGAACTCAGTATTGTCCTTGTCAAGCCAAAATGATGTGATAGGTTGCTTTAAGAGTGATACTTAGTGATTTTTTAGGATAAACAGAAAAATTACCTCCTACGAAATTCAGAATTATTAGGTGTAGTGAAGTTATTAAATAACTATGTGGTTATTACGTAACTTAGCTTCATAAATCTGTATCATATCAGCTGAAATATCCAGGTTATCAGAGATCAGAGATAACTTCAACTTATAGGTTGGAAATTTCATATGTGAAATTATATGTAGTCACTTATTTAGATTCAAATAATTGACCCTAAATTTTGTGTATTTTCCCCTACTAGACTTCACCTTTTTTTTTTTTTTTTTGAGACCGACGACTTTTACTCTGTCACCCTGGCTGGAGTGCAATTATGTGATCTCAGCTCACTGCAACCTCCACCTTCCAGGTTCAAGCAATTCTCCTGCCCCAGCCACCCAAGTAGCTAAGATTACAGGCATATACCACCACGCCTGGCTAAATTTTGTATCTTTAGTAGAGATGGGGTTTCACCATGTTGCCCAGGCTGGTTTCGAACTCCTGATCTCAAGTTATCTCCCTGCCTCAGCTACCTAAAGTGCTGGGACTACAGCCGTGAGCCACTGTGCTTGGCCAGTCACTACTAATTAAAAGTGAAGTCTAGGCCAGGCACGGTGGCTGACGACTGTAATCCCAGCACTTTAGGTGTCTGAGGCAGGAGACACTGTCTCCACAAAAAGTAAAATGTTAGCTAGGTGTAGTGGCACATGCCTGTAGTCTCAGGCACTTGGGAGGCAAAGGCAGGAGGATCACTTGAGCCCCGGAATTTAGTGTGACAGTGAGCTGTGATCACACCACTGCACCCCAGCCTGGGCAACAGAGCTAGATCATGTTTCTATTAAAAATAATAATAGGCCGGGCATGGTGGCTCATGCCTGTAATCCCAGCACTTTGGGAGGCGGAGGCAGGCAGATCACCTGAGGTTGGGAGTTCAAGACCAGTCTGACCAACATGGTGAAACCCCATCTCAAAAAAAAATTAAAAATAATAATAATAATAATAATAGGCCAGGCGTGGTGGCTCACGCCTGTAATTCCAGCACTTTGGGAGGCCGAGGCAGGTGGATCGTGAGGTCAGGAGTTCGAGACCAGCCTGGCCAACATGGTGAAATCCCATCTCTACTAAAAATACAAAAAATTAGCTGGACATGGTGGTAGACGCCCGCAATCTCAGCTACTTGGAAGGCTGAGGCAGGAGAATTGTGTGAACCCAGAAGGTGGAGGTTGCAGTGAGCCAAGATTGTGCCACTGCACTCCAGCCTGGGGGAGACAGGGAGACTCCATCTCAGAAAATAATAATAATAATAAATTAATAGTGACTATTAGTATTTATTTTTTGTATAATATTTACTTAAATTCAATGGTCAGGGATTTGATTTCCAAAATTTTGAATTCTTTTGTATTTTAAGGTAATTAGCTGTATACTTGGATATTTTTAGGTTCAAGGTAAAGACCCATCAGTGGAAGTCACACAGGACCTCATTGATGAATCCGAAGAAGAACGATTTGAAGAAATGCCTGAAACTAGTCATCTGATTGACCTGCCCACATGTGAACTCAATAAACTTGAAGAGATTGCTGACTTAGTTACCTCAGTGCTCTCCTCTCCTATCCGTAGGGAAAAGCTGGCTCTCGCCTTGGAAAATGAAGGCTATATTAAAAAACTATTGCAGCTGTTCCAAGCTTGTGAGAACCTAGAAAACACTGAAGGCTTACACCATTTGTATGAAATTATTAGAGGAATCTTATTCCTAAATAAAGCAACTCTTTTTGAGGTAATGTTTTCTGACGAGTGTATCATGGATGTCGTGGGATGCCTTGAATATGACCCTGCTTTGGCTCAGCCAAAAAGACATAGAGAATTCTTGACCAAAACTGCAAAGTTTAAGGAAGTTATACCAATAACAGACTCTGAACTAAGGCAAAAAATACATCAGACTTACAGGGTACAGTACATTCAGGACATCATTTTGCCCACACCATCTGTTTTTGAAGAGAACTTTCTTTCTACTCTCACGTCTTTTATTTTCTTCAACAAAGTTGAGATAGTCAGCATGTTGCAGGTAAGTAATAAGATATTCTTCACAATTCCATTTTTCAGATATCTAGTTCCCTTAATAGTTCAAGCTGGTGTTCATACCCTCTATATTTTTTGGAAGATTTGTTTAAATGTACCATTAAGTACATTTAAAGTAAACAAAAGAAATTAGGACTTTATATCTTGTGGTTTCAGGGCAGCCTTTTTGTTTGTTTGTTTATTTGTTTTTTGAGATGGAGTCTTGCTCATTCTGTCACGCAGGCTGGAATGCAGTGGCGCAATCTTGGCTTACTGCAACCTCCACCTCCTGAGTTCAAGCGATTCCCTGCTTTAGCCTCCTGAGTAGTTGGGACCACAGGTGTGCGCTGCCATGCCCGACTGATTTTTTGTATTTTTAGTAGAGACGGTTTCACCATGTTGCCCAGGCTGGTGTCGAACTCCTGAGCTTAGGCAATCCACATGCCTCGGCCTCCCAAAGTGCTGGGATTACAGGCCAGCCCAACCTTGTATATTTTTAAGTGGTCTATGTTTCAGTTTTTTTTTAATATTTAATATTTGTTTTCTAAAATTGAGGTAGAATATACATAACATAAAATTCACCGTTTTAACAATTTTTAAGTGTGCAATTCAATGACATTAAGTATATTTGCAGTGTTATGCAACAGTCACCACTATCCATTTCCAGAACTTTTTCATCATCCCAAACAGAAACTCTGAACCCATTGAACAATAACTCCCCATGTTCCCTCCTTCTGGGTCCTGGTAACCACTATTCTCTTTATGAATTTGCCCATTCTCTCTCTCTCTATATATATATATAGATGATGCAACTATTTTATTTATTTATTTATTTATTTATTTTGAGACGAAGTTCTGCTCTTGTTGCCCAAGTTGGAGTGCAGTAGCGCGATCTCAGCTCACTGCATCATCTGCCTCCCGGGCTCAAATGATTCTCCTGCCTCAGCCTCCTGAATAGCTGGGATTACAGGTTCACACCATCATGTCTGGCTAATTTTTTGTATTCTTAGTAGAAACGAGATTTCACCGCGTTAGCCAGGCTGGTCTTAAACTCCTGACCTCAGGTGATCCGCTGGACTTGGCCTCCCATAGTGCTGGGATCACAGGCGTGAGCCACTGCACCCAACCGAAGTAGCTATTTTTAACCCTTTTCCTGTCTGTCCTGAGAATACTCACCAGTAGTGCTTACAGTCAGTGTTTACCCTGAGATAACTGCCACAAAATACCTAGCTTTTATCATTATTTTTGCATTGCTATAGTTTATTGACTTTGGAAACAAAAGACATCATTCTATGTATAGCATTTAGGTGTTAGGAGTGGTATTTTCATTTACAAAATACAGTAATTCTTCATTGCTGAAAATGTCAAATCCTAGAAAATAGCATTCCTGCACGTGATGTTAATGTTCTCAAACAGTTGTTGGCCGAAGATTCATTTGATGAATCTGATTTTTTTTTAAATAGACAATTCTGATGATTCATACAATTCTGATGTTCTGTTTAGAAATAACTCCAAGAGGCTGGGCACAGTGGCTCACACCTGTAATTGTAGCACTTTGGGAGGCTGAGGCAGGTGGATCACAAGGCCAGGAGATTGAGGCCATCCTGGCTAGCACAGTGAAACCCTGTCTCTTAAGAAAAATACAAAAAGTTAGCTGGGCATGGTGGCACGCACCTGTAATCCCAGCTACTTGGGAGGCTGAGGCAGGAGAATCACTTGAACCCAGGAGGTAGAGGTTGCAGTGAGCCGAGATTGTACCATTGCTCTCCAGCCTGGGCAACAGAGCAAGACAGCATCTCTAAAAAAATAATAAAAACTCCAAGAACAGTTTTTGTATTTTATTTTTACATTGAAAATCAGGTTTGCTTCAGCCTCAACGAGCATGTTTATGTAAAATTAAATGAGTGCTGGCAGTAAGCTACACCTTTTTTTTTCTAAATGGGGAAAGGGTTAAAAGTATCTTTTCTTCCATTCTGAGAGATAGTCATTATTGGAGTATGTCTAAGAATGTAGCTATTTGCTATATGAAGGTGATTTTATTCTGTCTCCTTGAGTTGTGAAATACAAGTTTTACATTGTATTTATTATGTTAATCCTTTACACCCTAACAGTATAGTAAGCATGCTTTTTAAGTACTTGTCTCATAACTGCTTTTGTTACTTCCATATCAATTGTTAAGTTTATTGAGCAGCTACCATATACTTAGTGGTGTGGTTCTCAGAGTGTAGTTTGTGGACTTCTGGGAGTCCCTGAATCCCTCTTAGAGGCATTTATGAGGTTTTCTTTTTTGTGGTTTGATGTCACTGTGAGGCTGTGTTTTTTTGTTTTTTTTTTTGAGACGGAGTTTCGCTCTTGTTACCCAGGCTGGAGTGCAATGGCATGATCTCGGCTCACTGCAACCTCCGCCTCCTGGGTTCAAGCAATTCTCCTTCCTCAGCCTCCCGAGTAGCTGGGTCTACAGGCATGTGCCACCATGCCCAGCTAATTTTTGTATTTTTAGTAGAGACAGGGTTTCACCCTGTTGACCAGGATGGTCTCGATCTCTTGACCTTGTGATCCACCCACCTCAGCCTCCCAAAGTGCTGGGATTATAGGCGTGAGCCACCGCACCCAGTGAGGCTGTGTTTTTTTTTCCACGTACTTTTGCCTAAAGAACATAGTGCAACAAACTGAATGTCTAAAAAGATAAATGAGTATCTAGTTGTCTTCTGTTAAGTCAGATGTTGAGATTTGCAAAAATATAAATGGGGCTACTCTTCTTTCTAAATGTTTAAAATTTTACATCATATATAGCTGTTTCTCTTAAAATACATTTACATAAACATAAAATGGCTTATTTTAAAAAATGAGCTCATAAATACATTCAAAAGTCTTGGTTTTAATAGTAATTATGGTAAATATTGATGAACATAAACTGCATAATAAAAGCTCTTAGAGTCCTCCATAATTTTTAAACATTTATTTTTTATATAGAGACAGGATCTTACTATGTTGCCCAGGCTTATTGCCAACTCCTGGCCTCAAGTGATCCTTCTGCTGCAACCTCCCAAAGTGCTGAGATTATAATTGTGAGCCACTGCACCTGGCCTCTGCATAATTTTTAAGAGTTTAGGCTCGGTGCGGTGGCTCACACCTATAATTCCAGCACTTTGGGTGGCCAAGGTGGGTAGATCACTTGAGGCCAAGAGTTCAAGAGCAGTCTGACCAACATGGTGAAACCCTATCTCTACTAAAAATACAAAAATTAGCCAGGCATGGTGGCACGTGCCTGTAATCTCAGCTACTGAGGAGTCTGAGGTGGGAGAATTGCTTGAACCTAGGAGGCAGAAGTTGCAGTGGACCAAAATTGCACCACTGCACTCCAGCCTGGGTGACAGAGCAAGACTCTGTCTCAAAAAAAAAAAAAGAGTTTAAAAGAGTCCTGATACAAATAATTGAAACTCTCTGACTTAGTGCTTAGCTAGGTAGATTTCATTTTGTGACATTTTCAACCAATAGTCACCTATTTTTGTTACTTTGTTTTTTGTATAGGATTTCTTTTCTTTCAGATCATTTGTTCACTTACCAATTTTTTATTATTCCCCAATAATGAGTGTGGGGGAGGGTAGATGTACACATCATCTTCTTTTTATAATATATAGGACTTTTTAAAATAAAACCGTAATGTACAATTCAGGTGCTAGTTTACTTGTTGACCCAGTTACAGAAGCTTAAATGTAGCTTTCAAATGATGGCTTTTGCCTTCAGAAGGGTTTCCAAATTCATAATAGTAAATCATAAATTTTTTTTATATTCAGAAAATAAAGTATGTAAACTATAAATATATGTAAAACTTTATATGTAATTTTATGTATTTTATAATAGATTTATTTGTTAAATCTGTAATTACATAAATCAAGTGCAGCTTTGTCTTTTTCTGAAAAAAAGGCCTACTCATTTCTGCTTCGCGAGATGCATTTCATGAAATAGCCAGATTCTGTAAACTCTCTGTTATTTACATAGGATTTACTTCTTAATTATCTCTTGTGTGCCAGCAGTGATGTTGAATTTTTTTTTTTTAATTTTAGATTCAGAGGGTACATATGCTTATTTGTTACATGGGTATTGCATGAGTAATGGTGGAGATTGGACTTCTAGTGTACCCATCACCCAGATATTGAACATGGTACCCAGTAGATAATTTTTAAACCTTCACTCCCCTCCTCTGCTACCCCTTTTCGGAGTTCCCAGTGTCTGTTATCTCCATCTTGATGTCCATGTGTATCCACTTGTAAGTGAGAATGTGTGATACTTGATTTTCTGCTTCTGTGTTCACTTAGGATAATGGCCTCCAGCTCCATTCATGTTGCTACAAAAGACATGATTTCATTCTTATTTTTATTTTATTGCTTTTGAGACGGAGTCTCGCTCTGTTGCCCTGGTTGGAGTACAGTGGCACAATCTCAGCTCACTGCAACCTCTGCCTCCCGAATTCAAGAGATTCTTCTGCCTCAGCCTTCTGAGTAGCTGGGACAGGCATGACCATGCCTGGCTAATTTTTGTATTTTTAGTAGAGATAGGGTTTGACCATATTGGTCAGGCTGGTCTCAAACTCCTGACCTCATGATCCGCCTGCCTCGGCCTCCCAAAGTGCTGGGATTACAGGTGTGAGCCACCATGCCTGGTGATTTTATTATTTTTTAACATTTCGTAGTGTTCCACAGTGTATATATGCACCGCATTTTCTTTGACTAATCATCTGTTGGTAGACACTTAGGTGGGTTCCATGACTCTGCTATTGTGAATAGTACTGCGGTCAACATACAAGTTCAGGTGTCTTTTTAATGTAATGCTTTCTTTTCCTTTGGGTATGAATTGTGTTTTCAACAATATGTGAAAAAGAAAGAAGTAAGACTGTGGCCGGTGGCCTCTGTTTTATTTTATTTTTTGTAGAGATGGGGTTTTGCTGTGTTGCCTAAACTGTTCTTTTTTTTTTTTTTTTTTTTTTTTTTTTTGTTACGGAGCTCTTGTTACCCAGGCTGGAGTGCAATGGCGCGATCTCGGCTCACCGCAACCTCCACCTCCTGGGTTCAGGCAATTCTCCCATCTCAGCCTCCTAAGTAGCTGGGATTACAGGCACGCACCACCATGCCCAGTTAATTTTTTGTATTTTTAGTAGAGATGGGGTTTCACCATGTTGACCAGGATGGTCTCGATCTCTTGACCTCGTGATCCACCTGCCTCGGCCTCCCAAAGTGCTGAGATTACAGGCTTGAGCCACCGCGCCCGGCTCCTAAACTGTTCTTAACTGGCCTCAAGCAATCCTGGTGGCCAGCATTCCAAAATGTTGGGATTACAAGCATGAGCCTCCACGCCTGGCCCTATAGTGGCCTCTAAGCACTTATTTCCTAAAGTCTAACTGTTAGATTTCCATGTAGAAATGTTTGGGTAGGTATTAGACACATATCCGGCTAATACACTTATCTGTGGTTTCTTAAATGAGCATTAACTTGCTGCTGTATGAGTTGTAGAAGACAAACGAATATGTAAGAATTTTATCTAACTTGGCCAAAGTGAGGTGATACAGAGGGCCTTATTATAAATCCTAGCCTAAATTAGGTTAATTAACTGAGAAATTACATGAAAGAATTTAGCATAGTCAGTGGCTCCTAGTATGTATGCTAATACATGTTGACAATCTCTTAAGCATGATAGGGACATAAGACTTTAGCTAATATGAATTTTCTAGCTAATTGCAGATCAAAATTCCCTGTTCCAGAATTGAGCAATGTACTTTTAAAATGTTTTAGAAATTATTATTATTTTGAGACAGAGTCTTGCTCTATCGCCCAGGCTGCACTATCTCCACTCATTGCAGCCTCCACCTTCTGGGTTCAAGTGATTCTTCTGCCTCAACCTCCCTGGGAGCTGGGATTACAGGCGTCAGCCACCACGCCTGGCAATTTTTTAAATTTTTATTATAGCCAGAGTTTCACCATGTTGGCCAGGCTTGTCTCAAACTCCCACCCTCAGGTGATCCATCCACCTTGACCTCCCAGGGTGCTGGGATTACAGGCATGAGCCGCTGTGCCTGGCCAGAAATTAAATTACTGAAAGCCAATAAAGTGAGGTTATTTCTGCACACACAGCTGCAGAATAAGATCCTTTTCAGAACAGAAAGTTTTAATTTCTCCCTTTAATAGAAATGATAGAGGACAGGAATCTCAAATGTTGACATTTGAACACATTTACGTATATTTCCACTATTCCATAGGTAAGAATTAAGCTTAAAATAAGCCTAGCAGGATCAGTGGTTTAGTTCTCTTTTTAACATATTTGGCCGATATTAAGGTTTTGGCACTGAAAGAGAAAAATTTCTAACTTCCCATCCCAGTTACAAATTAAATATGTAAAATCTTCAAATACTCTTTTAAAAACTGTTTAGGGTAATAAGACTTTTCATTTTGTTTTTAGAGATTTTTCTTTGGATTCAAGTGTAGGATTTAATATGTTAATTTTTATTTTATTTTATTTTATTTTATTTATTTATTTTTTTTTTTGAGACGGAGTTTCGCTCTTGTTACCCAGGCTGGAGTGCAATGGCGCGATCTCGGCTCACCGCAATCTCCGCCTCCTGGGTTCAGGCAATTCTCCTGCCTCAGCCTCCTGAGTAGCTGGGATTATAGGCACGCGCCACCATGCCCAGCTAATTTTTTGTATTTTTAGTAGAGACGGGGTTTCACCATGTTGACCAGGATGGTCTCGATCTCACGACCTCGTGATCCACCCACCTCGGCCTCCCAAAGTGCTGGGATTACAAGCTTGAGCCACCGCGCCCGGCGTTAAATTTTATTTTATTAGATTTGACCTATTCCAGCTTCTGTGTGTATCTTGCTTTGGTTTGATTCGTAAATTTGAAATACTTAGGAACTGTCCTTGGTTTACTTAGTAGGAGTGACAAAAACCTCATTCATTGTTTGAGAGACCTGGGTTCTAAATCCATCTAAGTCCATCTAAGGTGAATTTTAATGTTTATGACCATTTTTCCTTTGTAATTTAATAGTCTGTGCTTATTGTAGAAAATTAGAAAATATTGACAACCAAAAAAGAAAATCACTCATTACCTATCACCAAGCAATAACCACAGTTAACATTCTAACATGTATGTACTCCTTCTAGACTTTAGATGCATAAATTAATTTTTTAAAAATACATGCTTGACTATATTTTCGTTTGTCCTTTTAAACAATGCCTAGGGTAATTAGCACTTGTGTGTCTTTTTAATACCTCACACAGTCATTAGTATGAAAAGCAGTTATTGCAGTATTTTGTCGTTTAATTGTATCTTTGGGGACCAAAAGAACGTCTAAGACTCTGCACCAATTGATTGTAGGTTATTGTATTTTATGAATTCTTGTATTTTAAATGGCTTTGTAATTGTATCTGTTGCCAGAATTCAGCCTCCTTTATTGTTTTCCTTGTTGTTCCTTGTCTTAGAATTCTTCTTTTTCTAATCTGCTGTGGACTGACAATAAGATCCTTAGACTTGTTTGAATTATGTTTAAATTAAGAGTAAGTAGACCCTGAAAGGGGGCTAGAGAGTCTAAGTGAGTTTTCATGTAACACCTCTAGAACAAATATTTTTGTTTTCCAAAGAGTAGTTGAGGTTTTTAAACTAGATATTGATGTATTTATAACAATTGAATGGTGTAGTCAAATTTTAGAAAATTGTAACACACACATATACCCCAGAATATTAGGTTTCATGATGAAAATGCTACTTGTCAGCTATTTTTTATGATTTGTGTAAGTCATATAAATAACTTTATACTTTTATTAATATGTCATAGTAATTATTTTTTTATGCAGGAAGATGAGAAGTTTTTGTCTGAAGTTTTTGCACAATTAACAGATGAGGCTACAGATGATGATAAACGGCGTGAATTGGTGAGTTATTCATGAAATTAAAACTCTTAAAGAGCACTTACTCTTTCGGCATGCATAGCTTTTAATCTTGAATTTGCTCACTTGAGGGAATTTTTTGTAGATTAGTAAGAAATGAAAAGTATGTATTTGAATTGAACTATAAATCATTATTCAGAGTTTCTAAAATTTGTTTGTTTCTAGAATTTGTATATTTTAGAAAATTCTTAGGATGTTCTGGTGTATCACCCACCACCATTGTATGTCTTATAAATCCCCAGATCAGATCACTGCCTTATTTAGAACAGAAGTACAAAACTCACAGATTTTTATGGTTGCAGAAATTCATATTATAGCGATGCTTTTCTTTTTAAAAAAGAGGTAAGGAAAATGCTTTTTGAATAAATGATGTAAGTAATTTGGTTCTTTGGAAATGTTTTGTTTGCTTTTTATTATAAGCACTTTCTTTGAAATATAAACCATTTTGAGGAAGAGAATAGTGATTGCTGTTTGCCAGACGTTTGTCATTTTTTCCAAACATTATAATGAGATGGGAAGAAAAAGTACACATTATAGTAATGTATATTCAATTCTATAATTTAGCTATCTGATACTGAATTACTACAAGAGTATCTTCAGTTTCAGATCTTTATTATTTATTTGGGATTTCACAAAATAATGAAAAATGGCTGATTAAAACCTCTCTAAGTCGTCTTTGGTGTAGTTACTTAATAGTAGCCTACTTAGTTTTCTCAATTGTAATATTGGTGTTTTAGATTAGGGAAATTTTGATGTATGTTTCAGTCTTTAAACCAATATTATGTTTTTGAGAGATTACTGGGAACTCAGCTAGAGTTGATTTATAGGATGGTTTTTTGTGAAAATATGTGTTCATAATTCAAAACAAATTTCTTACCTGACATTTTTGCGCTGAGTGTCTTCCAAGAGTTAATTGGTCAGTGTTAACCTTCTGAAAGATCTCATATTTTTTCTTTGTTCTTCTTAAGAAAGAGTCTCATTCTGTTGCCCAGGCTGGAATGCAGTGACGCAATTTCAGCTCACCGCCCCCTGGGTTCAAGCAATTCTCATGCCTCAGCCTGCCAAGTAGCTGTAATTACAGGCATGCACCACCATGCCCAGCTAATTTTTGTATTTTTAGTTGAGACAGGGTTTCAGACTGTTGGGGGCAGACTGATCTCTAACTCCTGGGCTCAAGTGATCTGCCCACCTCAGCCTACGAAAGTGACGGGATTACAGATGAGAGCCACTGTGCCCCACCGGATGTCATCTTTTCATAGTATCCTGACTTCTCAAAACTTTCGTTTAAAAACATATTAAAAACTAGCACCCCATTAAATATTTTTACATGCTAATAGGCCAATAGCCAAATCCAGCATCTTTTTTTTTTTTTTTTTTCCTGAGACGGAGTTTCGCTCTTGTTACCCAGGCTGGAGTGCAATGGCGCCATCTTGGCTCACCGCAACCTCCGCCTCCTGGGTTCAGGCAATTCTCCTGCCTCAGCCTCCTGAGTAGCTGGGATTACAGGCACGCACCACCATGCCCAGCTGATTTTTTGTGTTGTTTTTTTTTTTTTTTTTTTTTTTGAGACGGAGTTTCGCTCTTGTTACCCAGGCTGGAGTGCAATGGCGCGATCTCGGCTCACCGCAACCTCCGCCTCCTGGGTTCAGGCAATTCTCCTGCCTCAGCCTCCTGAGTAGCTGGGATTAGAGGCACGGGCCACCATGCCCAGCTAGTTTTTTGTGTTTTTAGTAGAGACGGGGTTTCACCATGTTGACCAGGATGGTCTAGATCTTTTGACCTCATGATCCACCCGCCTCGGCCTCCCAAAGTGCTGGGATTACAGGCTTGAGCCACCACGCCCGGCCAAATCCAGCATCTTAAAGCATGCATGCTTTCATTTGCCTTTTATAGCCAGATATCTCTGTTGACCTATGAGTGCCCAATGGAGTAAGAAAAATGTTCTGATCACATATTTAAAAGATTCACTTAGAAAGATGTGTTGTCAAACACCTCCATTCACTGAAAAAAAAAAAAAAAAAAGAAGCTTAGGGTGAATCTTTCAGAAAGCCAGATGACATTTTTATTAGTGTATTTCTCTTTTTGCTTAATAGTGCCCAGTAATGCAATATTTATTCTTTAATGGAGTGCTAGTTTTTAATACGATTTTAATGTAGTTTTGAGGAGTCAGGATACTCTAAAAAGATGAGATCCTTCAGAAGGGTAAATACTACACTATGATAGATTCTTATTATAGTGTGCCCCAAGTTTATGTTTATCAACTTCTCACTAAAATTTCTAACATTACAGGTTAATTTTTTCAAGGAATTTTGTGCGTTTTCTCAGACATTACAACCTCAAAACAGGGATGCATTTTTCAAAACTTTGGCAAAATTGGGAATTCTTCCTGCTCTTGAAATTGTAATGGTAATTATGCTGTTTCTTTTCATGTTTTTGAAATAGTAAATTATAATAGATTTATATTATGGATGGGAAAGTATATACTGTAGTAATCTATATTCAGTTCTATACTTTATCTGTTATTGAATTACCGTAAGAATACCTTCAGTTTCAAGTTTTTATTTATTTAATTTATATCAGCATGTAATCACTTGCATATAGTCTGGCTTCAAGTGAATAAAAAGAAAAACCCCACATGTTTTTGTAAGACTGTTACATTTTCTGTAACAATATTAAGTGTGTTTCACAGAAACCAGTAAATATCTTTTGTTTTTAGATCAGTGAGTGGAGTGAGGACAGACTGAAACAAGGGGATTCATGCTGCAACACAGGGTTAGGGCATGGTTCTTAGACTTCTTTTTTTTTTTTTTTTTTTTTTTTTTTTTTTTTTTTTTTTGAGACAGAGTTTCGCTCTTGTTACCCAGGCTGGAGTGCAATGGCGCGATCTCGGCTCACCGCAACATCCGCCTCCCGGGTTCAGGCAATTCTCCTGCCTCAGCCTCCTGAGTAGCTGGGATTACAGGCACGCGCCACCATGCCCAGCTAATGTTTTGTATTTTTAGTAGAGACGGGGTTTCACCATGTTGACCAGGATGGTCTCGATCTCTTGACCTCGTGATCCACCCGCCTCGGCCTCCCAAAGTGCTGGGATTACAGGCGTGAGCCACCGCGCCCGGCCTAGACTTCTTTTTTATATGAGTTTTATCCATTGTTATTTACTTTATGGAAAATTAAAACTAGTTTTTAGAGTATTGATTTAAAAATAACCCATTATATGTTAACATAAATAATATAACTTTTCACCACATTTCCTTGAGATTGTAAATAATACAAGTTTTATGAAAAAATAATTTCTCCAAAACAAAAAAATTTAATGAAAAGAATAGCGTTTGTTGTACTTTTTTTTTTTCCTGCTAATCCCTCTGATACCTTGCTTTATAGAAGGTGTCTAGATTCATATAGCAGCTTCTACATTTAATTTGTGGCGATATCATATGTCACACAGCCTCTGGAAAACTCCACTGTACTTGTGATTGAATGAGAGTAAAAATGACAAAGTCTCAATAGTATCGTTTATTATTATGAAATAGTTTTAATCTTGTGTACTTCCTGAAAAGTGTTAGATGTTAGACCCCTCTCACCAGGATTCCCTGGATCACATTTTAAGAACTGCTGGTCAGGGAGTGTTTTCAGAATCACCCCAAGATTTTGTAACTTATAAGTCATGTACTTTTCATGTGTTAGAGGGGAAAAGTATTTAGGATTACTACGTTAGAAAACTTAAGTTGTAGAAAAGGGTAGAAGTGCCCAAAAAGAGTTTTCCAAAGTATGCTCCATTAGGTGAGTGACAGAAAATAGAACCGGTTACTAAGGAGTAACCCTGGCAAATCCAGGACAAAAGGCTTTGAAGACTTTTGAAGTCTTAGCTAGGAGACATTATTCAAATTTTTACCTATATTTAAATAAATCCCCTCCCCACATTTTTTACAGCACTTGTAAAGCATTGCCTTATAATCCTTTGCCAATTCTTATATTTAAATTCTTTGAATATTTATTTGCTATGGTAAAAATCAGCAGAAACTAATCATCGAATTGCCTAAAAGTTTTAATATTTGTAAAAAGAAAGAAAGAAAATGCTGCTGAGGTTATACATATTGATTGCAGTACAACATCTTAATCCAAAAAGTTGAGAGCTAGCGTATGGACTTGGAAAAGAAAAGGGAAATGCAAGAATAACTTTTGTTAACAGTCTCTAAGTAACTTAGTTTTCTTTTATCAGGGCATGGATGATTTGCAAGTCAGATCAGCTGCTACAGATATATTTTCTTATCTAGTAGAATTTAGTCCATCTATGGTCCGAGAGTTTGTAATGCAAGAAGCTCAGCAGAGTGATGACGTAAGTAATAATGGTGGGGTTCTATGTGAATTATCTGTAGAGTAGTGTTGGCAAACTATTGAGAGAAAAAACATAACACAATCTTAATCTTTCTTGGGAGCCATAGATTTCTGATTAATTGTGACTTTGGCTAACTTAGAATATGTAGTATTTTACTTTGCTTATTGTTTAAAAAAAACAGATATTCAAACCAGTATTGAGATAAATAGATTATAATAGAATCAGATTTGTAAATACTAGTCTTAAATTTCAAGTGTTAATGAAATGTAATTTCAAGCCTTAGGAGAGTTACAGGTCAGGTGCTTACCTGGGATAACTAAAAAGTTGCTTTTATTTGTTCAAAAAATTTTTAAGTAGGGATGAAAGTTTAATAATGACTGGATGAGACTGGAGACTATTTTTCTAAGTGAAGTAACTCAGGAATGGAAAACCAAACATTGTATGTTCTCACTCCTAAGTGGGAGCTAGGCTGTCAGAATGCGTAGGCGTAAGAATAACACAGTGGACTTTGGGGACTTGGGGAAAGGGTGGGAAGGGGTGAGGGATAAAAGGCTACAGATAGGGTGCAGAGTACACTGCTTGGGTGATGGGTGCACCAGAATCTCAAAAGTTGCCACTAAAGAACTTACAACCAAACACCACCTGTTACCCAACAACCTATGGAATTTAAAAAAAAAAAAAAATTTTTAAGTTTAATAATGAGACCCATACTGTGTTTTTCCACTACTGATATATTTAAACTTTCCCCTTAAGCTATTTTAAGGACAAAATGAAAATACAGCTATAATTTAAAGTATTCCTTTTTTATGTTAAAAATGACTTAATTTTAAGTAGAAAGTAATTAAAATATAATTGTCTTTTTTTTTTTTTTTTTTTTTGAGGCAGAGATTCACTTTTTTTCGACTCACTGCAACTTCTGTGTGCCACCATGCCCGCCTAATTGTGTATTTTTAGTAGAGGTGGTTTTACCATGTTGGTCGGGGTGATCTCAAACTCCTGACCTCAGGTGATCCACCTGCCTCAGCCTCCCAAAGTGCTGGGATTACAGGCGTGAGCCACTATGCCTGGACCTCTTCTTAAGGAAAGTTTTTGATTCCCAATTTTAATTTGATGCTTGCATGGGTTACTATTGAATTAAATTACAGTTGTTTTATGTGTTTTGTGTTTAATCTTGTAATGTGTCCTTAGATTTATACTTTCTGTGTTTGTTATTCTTAGTGTTTTTTAAACTGATTTTATTTTAGAATCAACTTGGGTTAATGCTATAGTATAATCAGTAGAGAAATAATATTTTGTGTTCAATATATACATATATTTTAAAAATCAAATGATGCTAATTCTGACTTTAAAGAAAAATGCCTACTTTATTAATCATTTTGTAATCTCAGTAGTCTATCTTAATGCCACACTTTACAAAAGATAACTTTGAAATTAACACTCCTATTGCTTCGACTTCAGTGATGTGCATGATTAAAGGCGTTTATCATAAAATTGCCATGAATCAATCTCAGACCATGACTTCAGTAAACTGTTAACTTTCAGAATTCTTAACTCTTCAAGCTTTGATTCCTGTTTTAATCAGAAGTATTTCTTGTTTAATTGATGCTTAAGACTTAGAAAAGCAGTGATTTATTTTTTTTCACTATAGAAGTTCCTTTCTCAATGTTTCTTTTTCTTATAACAACCTTCAAGGGGTTTCATTTTCCTGAATTTTCTGAGAGCTAACAATTTTACAGTTTTAAAACTGTGTTGCCTCAAAATAATTTAGTCCACAAGAGAAGAGAAATTTAATTAAAAAAAAATCCCAATTAAGTCTTCTACATGCTGAATTCTATATTGGGTTGGTGGTGACCTTTAGGAAGGAAACAGAAAATAACTTAGCAGTGTATTCAGTGGCAGTTGATGTTTTGGTGCCCTTTTAAAATAAATGCACAGCATTCAAGCATTTCCTTCTGTTAAGGTGTTATGGAGTAGATTTGGTTTGGGCAACAGGGATTACATTATTCAAATATGTATTAAGATAAAAGGAATTATTAACGTTTTTTACTATAGTCATTGTTTCTATCCAAGCAGAAAGGGTCAATTTAGCAGTAATGCTGTCTTTTTGTTATGCCACAGATTGTAAATATTTTTATATTAATGGCCTTTGAAACATTCAGTAAAACTTATAGAACCCAACTGGATAAGTAATACAGTTACTTTTCTCATTTAAAGAATGAAATCTTGTGTTAATTTTTTAGATATGATAATAACATGATGTTACTTTAGAAGAATCCTTGTATTTTAAAGATTTATGCTGAAATATATTGAGTTTGCTTCAAAGTAAATTCTGAAGGGTAGAGTTAAGTTGGTGTATTAAAGATTGGCTATGAGTTAATAGTTATTGAAGCTGGGTGATGGATACATGGGATTTATTATATTCTCTCTAGTTCTTTATATATCTGAGATTTATCATAAAAAGAAGTTAGGAAATACATAAGCTAATCTCTATGGATTGACTGTTCAGTATTTTGTATCAAATCAGCTTTTATTAATCTCCAAGTTTCTTAAAATTTCTCCATTATAATAATAAAAAGAACTCCCAAATACCCCTCACACAAATTTTCCAAATGTTAACATTTTATCTGTCATTCGTTTTATCATTCTTTCTGTTTGCATGTGTATAAATACACATGCATACATAGGCATGTATTATTTTCTTTCTGAACCATTGAGAAATAGGTACAGGAATGATGACAGTGTGTCCCTTTACCCCTAGTTACTTCAATTTCCACTAACTAAAAACTCTTACATTACCACAGTGTAATTATCAAAATCATGATATTAAGATTTTTATAATACTAACATCTTACTACAGTATTCATTTGTATTTTATTGTTTGTCCTGGTAATGTTAATTTTAACCAAGACAAAAACAAAAAGTTTCTGATACGTTATCCAGCAACTTTGGTTGGTCTGTTGTTGCCTCACAATTAGTTCTAGTTACTTCTTTGTGGCAGGTATGGCATTGAAGTAATATTTCCTTCAGTATGTCATATCAGGAAATCTCCCCAACTTTTAAAAATGAGTGTGTGGGTTGTGGTCCTGGTCCCCCTAACTTTTAAAAATGAATGTGCAGATGTGGTAGTGGTGCATGCCTGTAATCCCAACTACTTTGCAGGATGAGGTGGGAGGATCTCTTGAGCCCAGGAGTTCAAAACCAGCATGGGCAACATAGCAAGACCCCACTCAAAAAAATCGAAGAAGATCAAGCTTTCATTTTCTCTGTCCAGGCTGTTTGTTACTCCACAGACTTAAGAAGTTTGAGCATTATGTTCTATAGAACTTGAGGAACTACTTACATTTCACTCTTCAAATATGTCAGAATGAGTTGAAAGTGGTATTGGTTTATATACATATATATGTGTGTGTGTGTATATATATGCTATATATACTCATCCCTCAGTTTCTGTGAGGGATGGGTTCCAGGAAACCACCTTCCCCTCCCATTGAGACACAAGGATACCAAATTCCGATTATGCTCAAGTGCCTTATATAAAATGACATAGAATTTGCATGTACCTATGCAAATCTTCCCTTTTACTTTACATTATAATACCTGATATAATGCAAATACTATAAATAGTTGTTATACTGTATTGTTTAGAGAATAATACTGTTTAGAGAATAAGAATAATAAAAGAAAAAAATCTGTAAATGTTTCAGTATGAATACAACCATCCTCTATTTTTTTCCTTTCCCAAGTATTTTTCATTCTCACTTGGTTTAATCCGTGAATATGGAACCTGCAGATACAGAGGGCCAACTGTATTACTTACATACACACACATGTACTTAGAAGCATTCATTTAAGTTGCTGAGAAGCAAATTATGTTAGTGGCTTTTTTTTTTTTTTTTTTTTTTTTTTTTTTTTGAAACAGAGTCCTGCTCTGTTACCTAGGTTAGAGTGCAGTGATGTGATCTTGGCTCACTGCAACCTCTGCCTCCTGGGTTCAAGCAGTTCTCCCTGCCTCAGCCTTCCAAGTTGCTGGGATTACAGGTGTCAGCTACCACACCAAGCTAATTTTTTTGTAGTTTTAGTAGAAAAGGTTTTGCCATGTTGGCCAGGCTGATCTCGAACTCCTGACCTCAGGTGATCCGTCTGCCTTGGCCTTCCAAAGTGTTGAGATTACAGGCGTGAGCCACCGCACCCAGCCAATTAATGGACTGTTTATTAAATTCTTGTATTTGTATTAAGCAAACTGGAAATGTTTTACAACATCCACCAATTATTTTTACCCTACCAATTCAAATATTCTTGCTCTTGCCGTTCCTTCTTTTCTCCTCTTATTTACTGTATCCATCAAACCTAAGATTTGCAGATGCTAATATTTTCTTGATCTTACCAGACAGTGTCAGTAGATTGTTATGTAATTTTGTCATGATTACCACTTCGCTGATAGTGACTGTCAAATGCCATCAATTACAAAATGTATCTTAATTTTAAGAGGTTAAAATGTTTAAGAAATCTGTTTTAGAATCAATGAAACAAATGATTTTCTTTTTTTTTTTTTTTTTTTTTTTTTTGAGACAGAGTTTCGCCCTTGTTACCCAGGCTGGAGTGCAATGGCACGATCTCGGCTCACCGCAACCTCTGCCTCCTGGGTTCAGGCAATTCTCCTGCCTCAGCCTCCTGAGTAGCTGGGATTACAGGCACGTGCCACCATGCCCAGCTAATTTTTTGTATTTTTAGTAGAGATGAGGTTTCACTATGTTGACCGGGATGGTCTCGATCTCTTGACCTCGTGATCCACTCGCCTCGGCCTCCCAAAGTGCTAGGATTACAGGCTTGAGCCACCACGCCCGGCCTTCTTTATCTTTTCTAATCAGAAAATAGGGATGCCAGCTTAGAATTAGGACAGTCTCTACTAAAAATAGAAAAATTCGCCAGACATGGTGGCTCATGCCTGTAATCCCAGCTACTCTAGAGGCTGAGGCAGGAGACTCGTTTGCAGTGAGGTTGCAGTGAGCCCAGATTGCGCCGCTGCACTCCAGCCTGGGCAACAGAATGAGACTCCGTCTCAATAAGTAAATTAAATAAATAAATAAATAAATAAAACACAAAAGCATGTTACTAATTTAACAACAAATCTATTTAATATTAGATTGTTGTATAACGTGGTATTCACTTGCATGAAGAGTTGTGTACTGGGTTATTTTTGGTCAATTTTTTTTTTTTGGTGGGGGGCTAGGAAGGATTTTGTAGTTAGAGGCTGACATAATTTATGTTTTAAGTTCCCGTGACCTTGCTTGTTTAGTCAGCCTCTAAATTTATGCTGAACTCTGAAATCCAAAATGAGAATCTATTAGAACCTCCACTGAGCAAGAATTACTGCTAAAGAATTTAGTTTTTCATTCTCTATAAGCTGCAGCATTCTCTGTTTTTGTTTTTTTTCTTCTTTTTCTTTTTCTTTGGAGTGGGTTTTTTTTTTTTTCACTCTAATATATAGTATGTTTATAGAACTTGCAAAAGCATTAGAAATAAAAGTTTAAATACGCTTTCCCGTTCTTTGCGTTTTCTCAATATGATTCTCATTTTGCTCTTTCAGTTGGTGTTTTTGTCTTAGGTCTAAACCAGGACTAATGGAAACTTGTTTTGTTTTGTTTTGTTACCAGGATATTCTTCTTATTAATGTGGTAATTGAACAAATGATCTGTGATACTGATCCTGAGCTAGGAGGCGCTGTTCAGTTAATGGGACTTCTTCGAACTTTAATTGATCCAGAGAACATGATGGCCACAACTAATGTAAGAAATTACTCTGAGATAAAAATGTTTTGGCCTAGTCAGTTTTAGGTGGCTTTTTAATTTTGAGAAACAAGTATTTTAAGTATTTGTCTAGTTGGTATTTAAGTAGCAGTGATATTCTTGAAGCAATTTATTTGTGGTAAAATACAAAATTGTAATCTTTAAAATCCTAGTAAAATGTTAGGAATACCATTTATGGCCCTTGACCTCTGTGTTAATTTCTTCAATACACGACATTATGAATATACTTAACACTACTGAACTGTATACTTAAAAATGATAAATTTTTAAATAGTAAGTTTTATGTGGTTTTTATCACAAAGGAAAAGTTTAAATATACTGAATGATCTCAATTGCATAAGACATTTTAAAAGATTTAAGGATTAACTCCTTAATACTTAAGGATTAGACACTCCAGAATATTAATAGTCATTCTCTCAATATCGAGGAATATTTTTTCTTTATAAGATTTCCTCTTAATTAGATAATATATACATTGGTTTTAAATCATTACAAGTTTGTATGCCCAATTGTATAAAAAAAAGTGGCAAAATTCAAAGACATTATTTTCCAAATTATAAACTTTTAAAATGTTAAAAATTGATTTAAATTTTGTCTCTTCATCTAGTGACTTAATAAAGTGATTCAGTGGTTTTTCAAATTTGCATAGAGATGGTGAAATCTGGGGTTCCAAATTTTAAGTAGTTAAGTTGCTATCACATGGGCTTAATTGGTTCTTTTGCTTTCTAAAAATTTTTATTCTTCCAAAACAGGTTCATATGTGCCTTTTTTCCACATTTGAATGTTGTTATTTTTAAAGTTGAGAGAATTTTCTTTCTTTGTTACATTCTTGGGAAAAACTTAATACACTGCGCAAAGAGAGAGACAAATGGATCAATAGTGATTATGGTGCATGCTGTTCTGACTTACATGTTGTTTATTTTGTGTGTGTGTTTTACCTCAAGTATTTATTTGTGTTGAGAACACTTAAAATCTACGCTCTTAGCAGTAAAATCACTTAAAATCTTACTCTCAAGTATAAGAAATTGTTAGTAATATGTTGTACAATAGACTGGTTCTTCATTGCATTTCATATTCATATCAGACATCTTTCAAAAATTTTTTTGAATAATTTTCTTCAGAAAAACATTTTGTGATGCTATCTGATCTTTATTTTGCATTCATTTTTACTTGTCATGTAATATGAAGTAGATTAATTTTCAGTTCCACAGATAAAAGATTGAAGTGAATATAGTTAATTTTTGGTTCTTTCACAGTATATAATTAAGTTCTTGATTTTTTTTCACAGTATCTTAAAGTATCTGCTTATATATGATCTGTACTGCTAATTCTTTTTGTTTTGGTTTGGTTCTGGAAAAGGTATGTACTGCTAATTCTTGAAGATGTTTTTATTTACAAAAGTAACACTATTCTTTTAAAAATTCTGTTTCAGAAAACTGAAAAAAGTGAATTTCTAAATTTTTTCTACAACCATTGTATGCATGTTCTCACGGCACCACTTTTGACCAATACTTCAGAAGACAAATGTGAAAAGGGTAGGGTCTCTTACTTATCTGCTATAATTTCTGTATTTAAAGAAGAATGAGATAAATATTAAAACTAACAGGCAATTTACTTGAGACTTTATATGACAGGGAAATTACAACTGAAAAACTTAAACTGCAATATAAGATTATGATTGTCTTTTTTTTTTTTGAGACAGAGTGTCGCTCTGTCACCCAAGGTGGAGTGCAGTGGCGCGATCTCGGATCACTTAACCTCCACCTCCTGGGTTCAAGCAATTCTCCTGCCTCAGCTTCCCAAGTACCTGGGATTACAGGCACATGCTACCACACACTTTTTGTATTTTTAGTAGAGACGGGGTTTCACTTTGTTAGCCAGGATGGTCGCGATCTCCTGACCTCGTGATCCACCAGCCTTAGCCTCCCAAAGTGCTGGGATTACAGGCATGAGCCAACACACCCGGCTGATTTTCTTGTTTCTTAGAGTTATGGAAGTTAATGATAAAATATGACAAAACTGTTCTTTCAGAGGCCATTTCTATAGTTTGTTACTACAAAAGTTTCTCTGAATGTGTAGATCACTGGCAGAAAAAAAAAGGAAATGTGGCAAACAGTATTACACACTAAGGAATTAAGATGTAGACATCAAAAAAGGCATTGTCCCCAGATTTGTTAGAGTTGATATCTAGAATGAGTAGGAGCAAATAGTAGAGATATTTTAATTTAGCCTCCAAATGCACATTAATATGCCAATATATGCTAATATATAGGGGCAAGGCTTTTTCATTAGTATTTTCTTTTTGTTGTTTTTTTTGAGTTTCGCTCTTGTTACCCAGGCTGGAGTGCAATGGTGCGATCTCGGCTCACTGCAACCTCTGCCTCCTGGGTTCAGGCAATTCTCCTGCCTCAGCCTCCTGAGTAGCTGGGATTACAGGCATGCACCACCATGCCCAGCTAATTTTTGGTATTTTTAGTAAAGATGGGGTTTCACCATGTTGACCAGGATGATCTCGATCTCTTGACCTCGTGATCCACCCGCCTCAGCCTCCCAAAGTGCTGGGATTACAGGCTTGAGCCACCGTGCCCGGCCCATTAGTATTTTTAAAATTGCATTTCCATATTCTCTTTCTTATATAATCGGCACCCATAATTCATCAGCTGCAATTTGTTTTCAGTTTATTAAAATGGAATGAAAGTCTAAAAATACTTTCGAAGAAGTTGGAGTGCATAATCTTATGGTTTTAGTATATCCCTCTAGGTATTCATAGTTACATATATCTAATCTGGAGGCAATTTTTAAATTGAGTTCTACTGCATTTAACTTAGCCATAGATATTACAGTTCTCTTAGATTTTATCAATCTGCAGTATTTAAATTATGTTATCATATAACCATAATACATACTAACATAAGCAAAGGATTTTGATGAGCATACAACTTAATTAGTGAAATCAGAAATATGTGGGGCATAATAGAATATTAGCCACTATCTGAGAATATTTGTTAACCAGAAGAATCACTTAAGAGGAGGTTAGTTAGGAGAATGTTCATGAAACTAAGGGCATACCCCATGTAATACTATTAGTTCCATTTCTGAGTATATACTCTATGGAATGTTTGTTCATATGCATGACAGGTACAAGAATGTTGCTGCATTGTTTGTGGTAGTAAAATGAATAAAATATGTATTTTTCATATAATGGAATACCATATAGCAGTTAAAATCATTGAATTTTGATGTATCAACTGAATAATTCCCAAAAATATCAAGGTGAATGGGTACAAAAGCACATCACAGAGGGTTTTCTTGAAGAATGGTTCCATTTATGTAAATTAAAATAATGCATTTTTTATGTTCATTTTAACAAAACATTTCCAGCCTACAGAAATAGATAGATAATAGTATAACAGACACTCATATACTCCCTGTTGGCTTTATCAAAACTAACCTGACATATTTTTTTTCAGATTTTTTTTTAAAACATTACAGATATAGTTGGAGTTTCGTATGTACCCCTTCACATTCCCATTCCCATTCTACCCCCTCTTCCTCCATCTCTCAAGGTATGATGAATTTGGAGTTTATCACTCCTATATTTGCTTATGTTATTCTGATGTGTATATATGGTATTATTTTTTATATTTTCAAAGTTGCTATAAATTTAACGTCTCCTAAATACTATGCTGCATATTTTTTAATCCAATGTTATTTTCGAGATCTATTCATATGGATACCTGTTCATATTGATCTAATTCATATTGAAATAGAGTTATTTATTTTTAACTCCTATAGAGTTCTTACTTATTTTTAACCCCTATATATGAGTATGCTGTAATTGAGCCATTCTGCCTCTAATGTGCATTCGTTTCTAGCTTTTTGCTATTACAGATAATGCTCCAGTTACATTCTTGTGTTTCCCTATGCACATGTGCCTTGATGTGCTCTAGAATGTATGCCTAGAAATTGGAACTGATTGATAAAAAATTTGAAGCATAAACATACTTATTATTCTGGAGTTTTAAAAATTCCTATATTTTCTGTTTTTAAAAATGAGATGCATAAGGGATGATCAAATGCAAATGTTATTTTAAAAAATTAAGAATAAAAAAACAAAAATGAAATGAAGAGAAATACCCTAATTGTTGAATGACGAATAGGAGAAGATAAAAGAAGATATGTCAGTTTTATCTCTGGTTGTAATCTTCCTTTTTATCAGAATATTTATACTATGTTGTCTTTTAATTCCACATCTACAACCACTTTTGTAAAAGATTGCAGATATAGTTATAATTTTACTGAAGCAACCAAGTCTTAACAGTTATTTTGAGGGTAAAGGAGATTATGATTGAAGACGTACATTGTATATTATAAAGTACTAGGGAAATGTGAAATATTACTGAAGTATTTGATTTTAATTTTTAATTTTTTTATTAGATAATATAGTTGGATCAAACAAAAACAACACAATTTGTCCTGGTAAGTATAAATTCATACTTTATGAATACATGCAAATTATAAACTTTTTTCTACTCTAAGTGTAATGCTTTATATAAGGCTAAGAAAAGCATATTTTGGCATAAAAATGAAATGCAAGAACAAATTTACTTTTGTCTTTATTGTAAAGAAAAAATTCCACTATCTTCAATATTAAAAACGGAAAATGAGTTGGAATTTTGTTAGTTTTTTTTTTCCTGAAAATTTATACCTTGTTTTCTGACATTGTTAAGAGAAGAAGGCATTGTCTGAAAGTTGAGGATGTAATTCTTATTTTTGAAATGTAGTAAACTAAGACTAGTTTGCAACTAATTTTCATGACCATTTTTTGTTTATTGTTCATGAATCTGAGACTAAAAGCAGTTGTTTCTACTTAGAATAGGCATAGTAGGTATGAGCTTGATACTAATAAAGACATGCTGTGTGCACCTACCATCCCATGCCCTTTCTACCAACCTCATCAAATCTCAAAGGGGAGCCAGTTACAAGTAAGGAGGCTGTTTGGAGATTGGACTGTTTAGAGATAAGAGTAATTTCTTGTCCCAGTTATAAATATGAAGACAAGACATTTGTTTAAGGCTGGGCATGTTAGCTTACTCCTGTAATCCCAGCACTTTGGGAGGCTGAGGCAGGTGGATCACCTGAGGCCAAGAAATTAGCTGGGCGTGGTGGCGCATGCCTGCAATCCCAGCTACTCTGGAGGCTGAGGCAGGAGAATCACTTGAACCCATGAGGCGGAGGTTGCAGTGAGCCAAGATCACGCTTCGCCATTTATTCCAGCTTGGGCAACAAGAGCGAAACTCCATCTCAAATAGAAACAAAACAAAAAATCCAGACATTTGTGAGTGTCAAGGTTAAAAAGTCTTTTGTTAATAAAATTGGAGAGTTCAAAAATAAAGAATTCCTTTTTTTTTTTTTTTTTTGAGACGGAGTCTCACTCTGTCATTCGGGCTAGAGTGCAGTGGTGAGATCTCAGCTCACTGCAACCTCCGGCTCCCAGGTTCAAGTGATCCTCTTGCTGCTGCCTTCCCAGTAGCTGGGATTATAGGTGCTTGCCACCACACTGGGCTAACTTTTATATTTTTAGTAGAGACAGGGTTTCACCATTTTGGCCAGACTGGTCCCAAACTCCTGACCTCAGGCGATCCACTAGCCTCCGCCTCCCGAAGTGCTAGGATTATAGGTGTGAGCCATGTGCCTGGCCAGGAATTGCTTTCAATGGTGAGGGACTAGTTCAAATTTTGGCTGATGTACTGGCTGACAGAAATTGGTCTGGAGGAAGGGAAGCTCTTTACTTGCATTTAAACTAGAAACAGTTCTTGAAATACAAGAACTTTCTTTTGTGTATTTATATGTGATGGTCATTCTGTTATTAGAAATAATGCTAATTTATTCCTGATAGCATTGTAGTTACACAAGATATTTATGTATATAATCTCAAGTAAATAAAATAGTTGTACTAGATGATGTCATTTTTTTAAAAATTCTGTAAGACTATCATTTTATAATTTCCTCACAGCTTAATATTTCCTTGTCTAGCCAAGCGTAGTGGCTCACACCTATAACCTCAGCACTTTGGGAGGCCGAGGCAGGAGGATCACTTGAGCCCAGGAGATAAGAGACCAGCCTGGGCAACATAGTGAGACATCATCTCTACAAAAAATAAACTGGGCATGGTGGTATGCCCCCTGTGGTCCCAGCTACTAGGGAGGCTGAGGTGGCAGGATCACTTGCGTCTGGGAGGTCGAGGATGCAGTGAGCTGAAATTGCACCAATGCACTCCAGCCTGGGTGACAGAGTGACGACACCCTGTCTCAAACAACAAGAAAATATTTTCTTGTCTAAAGCACTTATAATAGGGATGTGTGATTGTCCATATAGGCCTTTGACATAAATTAAAATTTGACGTTTAGGAAGCAGTTCAAAATCATTTCACGAATGTATAAACCGAAGTCTCAGGGAAAGAAAAAATGCAAGTTTATTCAGTAGATCCCTCTCTATAGATATCATGAGTTGATATTTTAAAAGTTGTTTATAAAATTATATTAAGTTATGTGTAAGAATCTTGATATAATATTTTTTATTTGATGTTCAAACAGCCAAAAATATCCTTATCTTAAACTGTCTTATTTAAATTTGGGGGGGGGAAATTTGCATTGAGCCACTTTAGGCCAAAAGTTTTAAGTAGTTTTTTTTTTAACCATGGGCCCTTTTATAGATTTATTAATATTAATAAAGAATACCTCAGTGCCATCAGGTATTATCATGTTCATGGATTGTTATTGCTTTTCTTTCTATATTTCGTATTTTATGCAAATCTGAGTCTTCGAAAGTTATCTAGTAGGTAAAACTGTTAATGTGCTTCTGGAGAGTCTGGGTAATGAAAAATTAAAAATCTGTAGCCTTTTTAATGGATATAAAAATGGAGAAAATAGGCCAGGCACAGTGGCTTGTACTTATAATCCCGGCACTTTGGGGGCCAAGTGGGAGGATCTCTTGAGCCCAGGAGTTTGAGACCAGTCTGGACAACATAGTGAGACCCCATCTCTACAAAAATTTGAAAAAAATATTAGCTAGCATGGTGGCATACATTTGTAGTTCCAGCTACTGTGGAAGCTGAGGTGGGAGGATCACTTGAGCCTGGGAGGTAGAAGCTGCAATGAGCCATGATTGTGCCACCACAGTCTAAACTGGGTGACAGAGTGAGACCTTGTCTCAAAAAAAAAAAAAAAAAAAAAAAAGGAATTACAATTTAGATTTTGTTACAAAATATAGGATGTAAGCTTTATTTATTCTTTATTTAGATATATTCAGTATTTATTTTCATGAGATTACTTTCTTTTGTAGATAATTATCAAACAGCACAGCTACTTGCCTTAATTTTAGAGTTACTCACATTTTGTGTGGAACATCACACATATCACATAAAAAACTATATTATGAACAAGGACTTGCTAAGAAGAGTCTTGGTCTTGATGAATTCAAAGCACACTTTTCTGGCCTTGTGTAAGTATAAAATGTTTAAAAAGCAACATTTTTAATAGAGATAAAGCTGAAGTTACCCATTTGAAGTTACTTATTATTTATTAGCAGTGTATATTCTGTTAATTAGATGATTGTGAGAAGTCCTACTCTTTCATTCTTACTTACAGGGCAAGAGGACTAGGTTATAGTGATTTCCCCAGCCACATATTGCTCACATTTAAATTCAGTGAGCCTGTCTTTTTTTGTGATACAATACCATGTGCAATGACACCATTTTACTAACAGAACCAGGTCTGCTGTTTTTTTACATCTATTTCATAAAGCTGTCATTTAGTAGTCACTCTTTATAATTATTCTGATATTCAATGTTGATTTTTAGCAGACTGTAAACTTTCTTTGACTTTCATAATTTCACCTGCAAACAGAGAAAGAAACATCCTCTCTCCAGATGGAAATTACTTTGTGGTATTATTCTGACCATAAAGATTATAGTTTAAATATAGACATTTAATTTAATGTATTGAGAAAATGTTAATCTCCCTAATCTTTATTTTTGTGGACTTAAAATAGCCAGTATTAACTATCTGCATTATTTCTTTTTATATACCTGTACCAATTTGTATAATAAACATAATCGCATGTATAGAGGATTTTTTTGTTTTTTATTTTTACCAAACAGGATCATACCAACACATTTGTCAGCCCCCTAATACTACTCTAGCCTAATTAATATCATGTAGACTAAGTTTATTCCTGGAGACAGCTGAGTAAGATTTTATAGTATGGCTCTCCCACAGATTCTTCTGCAATTCTCAGTGGATGAATTACAGGATTGTTTTTGCTTTTTTGCCACTCCAAACTATACTGTGGTAGACAGTCTGGTACATAAATCTTTTAAGTACTGATTTATTTCTTTCTAAAGAATAGATTCTCAATAATGAGATTGCAAAGACAAAATGTTATGCTTTTTAATGTATCCATTTAATTTGCGAATGGCTGCTAGATTACTTCCCCCCAAGTTGAAACATTTTGACATTCTCCCAGCATTCAGTGTTACTCCTTTTTTAAAAATGTTACCAGTCTGATAATGGAAAATGTGATACTTCATTTTTTTTCTAAATTGCATTTTCCCTGACAGCGTCTTTTCATATATTAGTATAATTCGCATTTTTATCTGTTGTGAATTACCAGTTATCTTTTTCTTAGAGTTCTTTGCATAGTAGAGATATTAACAATTTATCATGTTTTGGTGAGAAAATGTACATCTTCATTGTCTTGGCTTTGGCTTTATTTATAGTATTGTTTTCCAAATAACTTGAAAATGTCCTTATTACAACACAGATTTCTTTCTTTTCCTTTTATGACTTTTGGGTGTTTTGTTTTGCTTAGAAAAGTCTGTGTCCTAAGATTATACAGATATTCTCACTTTTTTTTTATATTTATATGTGTAACACATGTGAAATTGTTTTTGCATATGTTTTGAAATGAGAGTATTTGAAATGAGTGTTTTCTAGATATATAGCCAACAGTATCAGTCTTAATCAGCACTTGTATTAAGACTACCTTACCTTTCCTCATCCTTCTGAATTGAAATATCATTTTTGTTATACATTAAGTTAACAGATATATATACACACACACACACACACACACACACACACACATATATATATACTTTTGTTTTATTTCTGTACTGTCATTTAATTTCACCAAATGAAATAATACCAGTGTTGGCCAGGCACGGTGGCTCATGCCTGTAATCCCAGCACTTTGGGAGGCTGAGGTGGGTGGATCACCTGAGGTCAGGTGTTGGAGAGCAACCTGGGCACCATGAGGAAACCCTGTCTCTACGGAAAATACAAAAATTAGCCAGGTGTGGTGGTGTATGCCTGTAATCCCAGCTACTCAGGAAGCTGAGGTAGGAGAATCACTTGAACCTGGGAGACGGAGGTTGTCGTGAGCTGAGATCGCAACACTGCACTCTAGCCTGGATGACAGAGCAAGACTCTGTCTCAAAAACAAAACAACAACAAAAAAACAGTGTTTATTATATTATATCAGGCATTATAGTATTTCTGTTGTAAGGTTTAATACCTACTGAATCCCCCTTCACTTTCCTTTTTCATAATTTTCTTAGTTGTTATTGGACATTTTCTCTTTCATAATAACTAAATGATTATATCCAGCTCATTTTGATTGGAATTACATTATGTTTTTATATTAGTTTTGGAATGATTGATGTTCTTAAGACAGATTTTCCCATTTGGCTCTCTATAAATAGTACTCTTTGATGACTACAGAGTACTCCCTTTAATATGAACATGTAACTGAATGAATTTCCAATTTATTTTTATTTTTATTCTTTTTTTTTTCTTTTTTTTTTTTTTTGGAGATGGAGTTTCGCTTTTGTTACCCAGGCTGGAGTGCAATGGCGCGATCTCAGCTCACCGCAACCTTCGCCTCCTGGGTTCAGGCAATTCTCCTGCCTCAGCCTCCTGAGTAGCTGGAATTACAGGCACGCGCCACCATGCCCAGCTAATTCTTTGTATTTTTAGTAGAGACGGGGTTTCACCATGTTGACCAGGATGGTCTCGATCTCTTGACCTCGTGATTCACCCGCCGCGGCCTCCCAAAGTGCTGGGATTACAGGCTTGAGCCACCGCGCCCGGCTATTTTTATTCTTATTTATTTATTTATTTCTGAGGTGGAGTCTTGCTCTATTGCCCAGGCTGGAGTGCAGTGGCATGGTCTTGGCTAACTGTAACTTCTGCTTCCTGGGTTCAAGCAATTCTCCTGCCTCAGCCTCTCGAGTAGCTGGGATTACAGGTGCCTGCCACCAGGACTGGCTAATTTTTTGTATTTACAGTAGAGACGGAGTTTCACCATGTTGGTTAAGCTGGTCTCAAACTCCTGACCTCGTGATCCACCCGCCTTGGCCTCCCAAAGCACTGGAATTACAGGCGTGAACCACTGCACCCGGCCAGAATTTCTAATATTTAAATGTTTATATTGTTTCAGGATTTCTATTATTATAAGCAGTGCTCTTGTAATTATAGCTTTGTATACATGTCAGTTCACTTACCAGCAGTGTGTAAGTGTGCCTATTTGCTCACACACTTGCCAGTGCTTCAGTCTTTTGCATCTTAAGTAAACTTTCTTATCCTGCCACAAAGAGAGGTGAGGTTGCAAGTCTAACGCTTCTCCCCACACTTGTTTGGTGTTACATTTATACCTTATGTAGCCTATTTCTGTTTTATTCTCAGATAATATTTAGAACCTCTTGTGACAGGCACAACTTCTTTATTTCATGAGTTTCATCTAATGGAATGAAAAATGACATACAGTCAGAAGCCTTGTGTTTTGAAGATTTGGCTACTGGTATCTGTAGAATAAATTAAACTACTTGGGGAAAAGATGCAAGTTAAAGGATCAACACATATAAAAATAAAGGATTAAAATTATAGTCCTCTCTGTTCCATAAGATGTTTCTTAGTAATATTGCTAAATTTAGTAAGCTTTATGTAGCTAGGGAAAAGACTAGTTAAAAAGGAGATTTCTTATCAGTATTCTAAAATGTGAAAAGTGAAGTTCAAGTTGTACCTCTTATTCATTACTCTGTTTTTCTTTAACAAATAACAATCTGATCTGCCACAGTACATCTTTAGCTAGGTAAAATAGCTTGTAAGCAATTGGTACATAAGAGAATGATGTCATTATAATATGAAGATGGTGTTGGTTCACAAGTTTTTTTTCAAGACATAGAGAAGTAGAATAGTGTGAATGGAAATAGCCTTCATCAGAGAAGTAAAAACCTTTAGATCTTCTGTTATATGATTGGCATATGGTATCAGGAGCCCCTTTAGTGGTATTTTCAGAAAATTAAGAAGCATTTGCTTCTAAAGCTCCCCTCCTCAGAGAGCCAAGGCAATCTTGGCTCATAGCAGGTTGCCCACTCCTGTGCCCACCTTAGTGACAGTGCCCCCACTGATTCTGAGCTGCCTTCACTCTGTTGTCTCAGCCATCCACCAGCACTACTCTAAGTACTGCTAGCTTTTGCAGTCTGTGGATTTTGCATATTTTTTAATCTCTGTCGTAGAGCTACCTGCCTGGGTAGTTTATCTCCTAGGTTCCAATTACTGTTTTTTGTGGGGGTTTTTTGTTAGTTCTGGCTACAAAGTTTTACAGTTTTGAGAGGTCCTCTCCAGCTCTATTTTCCTCAAAGTCCAGTTTCATTGGACAATTTTACTTTTCTTTTTAGAATAATTTACTTTTTACTTTATGAACAGTTTTACTTTTCATTTTAGAAGAACATATACATTGCTTTATGGTGGAAAAACACCTGTATAATAATGGATTTTAGTAAGATCATTAACTTATTCCCTGTATTATTTTAATTAGGTGCTCTTCGCTTTATGAGGCGGATAATTGGACTTAAAGATGAATTTTATAATCGTTACATCACCAAGGGAAATCTTTTTGAGCCAGTTATAAATGCACTTCTGGATAATGGAACTCGGTACAATCTGTTGAATTCAGCTGTTATTGAGTTGTTTGAATTTATAAGAGTGGTAAGTGATTATAAAACAACCGTTAGTTATTATATGTAAGATAACTATATGTAAAGACATAATTTTTTATGTCAAAGAATTATATGTAAGCAAAATGATTTCTTCATTTCCTTTTGCCCCTGAAATTATATATTCCATTTGTCTTAGAATCTATTTCTAATAAGCTGAAATTTTAAAAATCATTGTATTTGCCACATGGTTATGGTTTAGTGGTTTTTACTTTTGACGCTAATATATTTTAACACAAATATTTTAAATTGTGAAATATAAAAGAATAGAAATATTGAAAAATAATTTATTTAGGGTTGGGCGCAGTGGCTCATGCCTGTAATCCCAGCAATTTGGGAAGCCAAGGTGGGCTGATCACTTGAGGTCAAGAGTTCATGAGCAGCCTGGCCAATATGGTGAAACCCCATCTCAACTAAAAATACAAAAAATAGCCAGGTGTGGTGGCACATGCCTGTAATCCCAGCCACTTGGGAAGCTGAGACACAAGAATCGCTTAAACACGGGAGGTGGGGTTACAGTGAGCCAAGATTGCATCACTTCACTCCACCCTGGGTGACAGAGCAAGACTTTTGTCTCAAAAAAAAAAATTTCATTTGGTAGACGTTAATATAAGGTGCATAATAGGTAGGATGGAATACTGGAATTTTAAATTAAAGAGATCAGGAGGTTAGATAGACTACTCCAATTATCCTATTTTATAGATGAAGAAATTAAGACACCCAGAATGATTAAGTGACCTATTCAAGAACATCCATTTGGATAGTAGCACAATGAGGACCAGTTAGAGCTTATAGCTATGTCCTAGTTCAATTTTAGGCAACAGAAGATGTGTCATAAATAATCTGGAGGGCAATCTATGTGAGTAACAGGGGTGCAACAGATAGCTTTAAAACCAATACAACAAATTGACCTTACCTGTACTTATATACACTGAAATCATTCCACTGAGGAAATGACCACAAAGTTGGAAAGAATTTGGGTTTTATTTTTTGTTTTATTTTGAGACAAGGTCTCATGCTGTTGCCCAAGCTGTAGTGCAATAACACAGTTATAGCTCACTGTACCTTTGACCTCCTGGGCTCAAGCAGATCCTCCCATGTCAGCTTCCTGAGTAGTTGAAACTATAGATATTCACTAATATGCCTGGCCAATTTTAATTTTTTTTTAGATACAGGGGTCTTCCTCTGTTGCCCAGGCTGGTCTCGAACTCCTAGGGTCAAGCAGTCCTCCCACAGCCTCCCAACGTGTTGGATTACAGATGTGAGCCACTGCACTTGACTGGGAAGAATTTGAGAAAAGAAAGTCAAAGCTAGAAATTCATTCTCTAGTTTTATTTCTTACAAATTAGATTTCTGCTGATGACATGCTGTCCTTATACGAAGATAATTTGGCTGACTGGATTGTTTTTCTAAAAGTGGTCAGTTGCCAAGTATATGATTTTTAAAAGGATGAAGAAGATAGAAGTCTTTAACCTTGGAAAAGAAGGAATATGGTTAACCAGCTCACTAGTTCCCATTGTACTGTTGCAGTAAATCAAAACTTTTTAATATTTTATTTACTTTATATTTTTCTCCTTTAAAATTTTGGTGAGATAGAGATAAAGCAAACTGTAGGGTTTACAGCCCCATCCCTATGCCCACAATTGAATTGCTTTTCTGAAAATAAGTTTTTGAGTGCTTGATTTATGTACCTTGTGTCCCAAAACTTAATGTGTTTTTCATTTCATGTATAACACAGAGCCATTACCTAGGTTTCTAATTTCTGAGTTGCATATTTTTTATTGAGATGTACAGGAGAACTACTTTTAGGACTTAGAATCTGTAATGCAACCAAATTATGATGTATCTTTTCAAGAAATGATCTGTGTGTTTCTTAAATATGTAGTATTATTGATAAAGTCCTGAATCGCAACTTTAATTTTTTTTTAAGTAAGCCTACTGAGCATACATGCATTTGCAGTGATGATTTAGAATTAAGAAGTTATTACTATCAGTTTACTTCACAAAGATTATACTATCGGAAGACTACAGGAATAGATAAGTAGAATTCTAGATAGTTTATCAGATCTGTATATATAATATAGTCAGAGAAATCTGTGCTTATTTATTGTTTAGGTAAGATGTATCCTTCATTGTTTTTTTTCTTGTTCTACGTGTGAGAGCCAGCCTCGGATATGGGAAAGGCTTGAGAGAGATCTCTTTGTCATCAAGCCTTTGCCAGCTTCTGTGTAATGTATGTGGCAGAGTTAGCCTCATTTGAAAACTTAACGAATGCACCAGAAAGCAAACCACCACCAGTATATCCCATTTTGATAGCAGTTAAATAGGAAGTCATTAAATAACACTTGTTTGTTGAAAAATATAATTTTTCTTTTATTGATACATAATATTGTACAGATTTTTTGGTACATGTACTTTTTTTTTTTTTTTACATGCATAGAATGTATAATCAAGTCAGGGTGTTTGGGGTATCCATCACCATGAGTATTTTGAAAACATAATTTTAACATCTTCCCTCTAACCAGCTGTGTGCTCTGGATCAAACCATCCAGCTTCTCTTGAGCCTCAATTTTGTTTTTCTCTAAAATGGGGATAGTAAAACCTATCTCATAGAATTATTATGCATATCAAATGAAATTGTATGTAAAAGTGCTTTTTAAATTGTAAAGTGCTATATATAAATACAAAACATAAACAGAAGATGTAAAAAACATCCATTTACTTTTTAAATGTTTTTTATAGTCCCACAAAAGGGCTCCAGTAAATTGCTTCTCCTTTTTTTTTTCAAGTTTTCTGTGCAGTCCTGACTCATATGTAAAGAAACCAGGACATGACATGTTGGAAGGTGATTTTGAAAAACCTTTTTTAATCAGCTTTAGAACTACAAAACAAAATTTTAAAGTTTTTTTTCTAATAAGTATTGTATTATATTTCAAATGTGAATTTTGTGCTTATACAGGAAGATATCAAGTCTCTTACTGCACATATAGTTGAAAACTTCTATAAAGCACTTGAATCGATTGAGTATGTTCAGACATTCAAAGGATTGAAGACTAAATATGAGCAAGAAAAAGACAGACAAAATCAGAAACTGAACAGGTATTGTTTGAGTATACTGCTTTTATAGCCTACAAAATTGTGTCCAAAATTGTCTGTAGTTCAGATTTTCCATGTGAAATTCACTGAGGAATTTTCTTTCCATCACTGGATAGCGTAGAGTTTAATAGGAGAGTAAGGTGTTCCTCCTACCCCATATCATTTAAATGATGAATTACCACTCCATATTGTAACTTAAGAAGAATATTTAGTTTAATATACAATATCCTAAAATAATTTGGAGTGTTAGTGTTCTCTGGCTACATCTTCTATCATGACAGAGATCATTTTGGTATAAATTATACTCTGTTAAAATTACTTCGCTTCCTCCTGATTATACATATTTTTCCTTCAATTCAATCTGATCGTGAACTTAAATCATTACTCAATATTTGTGATACTTTCTTACAGTGTACCATCTATATTGCGTAGTAACAGATTTCGCAGAGATGCAAAAGCCTTGGAAGAGGATGAAGAAATGTGGTTTAATGAAGATGAAGAAGAGGAAGGAAAAGCAGTTGTGGCACCAGTGGAAAAATCTAAACCAGAAGATGATTTTCCAGATAATTATGAAAAGTTTATGGAGACTAAAAAAGGTATTAAAATTCTGAATTTCTGCACAGTATACCCTCTTATTTAGTGCAAAAATTATTCTGTTGCTTATGAAGGTTTATTTATAATTTACAAAGCAAGAAAGACTATTTTGTACCAAATCATGTTCTTTTAAAATTATATACTTTTCCAAATCTGTCTGAGAATTGTTTTCATGTTTAAAATGTTTCTCTTCAAACTTGCCATTCTGTAATGCTATTAATTTGCTAGTTAGAAATTGAATTATCTACTTACACTTTTCTTTCTGTAAACAGTCTTGTCTTTATTTCTATACTGAAATTCTCAGGAATAATAGAGACCATATAGATTCATAGAAACCTTCTAGAGTACTTTGCCTGTGTCTTTTACAGCTGATAAACTAAGCTCAAAGAAGTAACTTTGCTCTTTAAAATTTTTAAATTATAAAAGTTACATAAAGATACACTGTCAAGAGAAGTGAAAAAGTAAAATTTCCCCTGGCTTTCAGGTATATTTAACTTGTTTTACAAAACAAAGATCTTGCTAGCGCTTATCTTTCAAAAGAACTAAAATGAGGAATTACCATTTTTTGGAATACTGCCCTGCATATATCATTTAAATATTTAATTAAAATTCATGTCTTGCTGGGCATGGTAGCTTATGGCTTTAATCCTAGCACTTTGGGAGGCTGAAGCAGGTGGATCATTTGAGCCCAGGAGTTCCAGACTACCCTGGGTAACATGGTAAAATCCTGTCTCTACAAAAAACACAAAAATTAGATGGGCATGGTGGCACTCAACTGGAGTCCCAGCTACTAGAAAGGCTGAGGCTGGAGGATCACTTGAGCCAAGGAGGTCAAAGCTACAGTGAGCCATAAGTACCACTGCACTCCAGCCTGAGTAACAGAGAAAGACCATATCTCAAAAACAAAAAAAAAAAAAACAAAAAAATTATACCTTAAAAGATAAAAGCCTTTCCTGGATTTATTATGTAAGTTTGTGATTTTGAATGTGACATTTTCTTTCTTTTTTTTTTTTTTGAGACGGAGTTTCGCTCTTGTTACCCAGGCTGGAGTGCAATGGCACGATCTCGGCTCACCGCAACCTCCGCCTCCTGGGTTCAAGCAATTCTCCTGCCTCAGCCTCCTGAGTAGCTGGGATTACAGGCACGTGCCACCATGCCCAGCTAATTTTTTGTATTTTTTGTAGAGACGGGGTTTCACCATGTTGACCAGGATGGTCTTGATCTCCTGACCTCGTGATCCACCCGCCTCAGCCTCCCAAAGTGCTGGGATTACAGGCTTGAGCCACCGCGCCCGGCCTGAATGTGACATTTTCTAAAGGCAATTCTCAGAGAATTAATTTCATTTATTTATTACATTTTCTTTGAAACTATTGTTCCTACTCATTTTCAACTTATTAATTTGATAAGTTTTATTTGCCCCATCGTAGGGGAGCAACAAGCCTATTAAAATGTCCTAAGGAATAGGTATCTTTGCTAGACAAATTCTTCTGCCTTTACTCATTACAGGTACTGCCCTGACTACTGTCAAAAGAGGCAGTACAGCCATATTTGAAGTTCTGTATCTAGTGTCAAATGACACACTGTTAAGAATCATATATAAAAATAGTAACCAGATGTTAAAGAGGATTGGAACCCTGTGTCATAAAAGAAACAGGAAAAGGAACTTGGACTATTTCGGACTTACGGACTTGATCATTGTCTTCAGGCATTTGGAATGTTGACTTGTGAGAGAAATTACTAGGTTTTTACAGTGAGTAAAGAAGTGTAGAGTCAGTGAGTGGAAGCTACAGGGAGACAATAAAAGGAAGAGTCAGATAGCTGATGAGTTTTTAGATTTATGTGCTAGATACCGCAATGTAGAGTTCTAGCACAGGATGGCTAATTTTGTTAGGATACTTAAGTTCCTTTCTAATACTGAGATTTCTAAGATTCTAGCTAATAAAGACTTCTCACTTGTATTAGTTCGTTTTATACTATTAAAAAGAACTACATAAGACTGGGTAGTTTATGAAGAAAAGAGATTTGATTGACTTACAGTTCCATAGGCTTAACAGGAAACATGGCTGAAAGGCTTCAGGAAACTTACAGTCATGGCAGAAGGTGAAAGGGAAGTAAGCATGTCTTAACCCTGGTGAAGCAGAAGACAGAGAATGTGAAGGAGGAGGTGTAACACACTTTTAAACAACCAGATCTCATGAGAACTCACTATCACACAAACAGCAATGAAGTATTCTGCCTCCATCATTCAGTCACCTCCTCTAACACCTGGTGATTACAGTTCATAATGAGATTTGGATGGTCACATGTAGCCAAACCATATCATTCCAACTCTGGCCTCTCTCTAATCACATGTCTTTTTTTTTTTGAGACAGAGTTTCGCTGTTGTTACCCAGGCTGGAGTGCAATGGTGCTATCTCGGCTCACCACAACCTCCGCCTCCTGGGTTCAGACGATTCTTCTGCCTCAGCCTCCTGAGTAGCTGGGATTACAGGCACACGCCACCATGGCCAGCTAATTTTTGGTGTTTTTAGTAGAGACGGGGTTTCACCATGTTGACCAGGATGGTCTCGATCTCTTGACCTCATGATCCACCTGCCTCGGCCTCCCATTGTATTGGGATTACAGGCTTGAGCCACCACGCCTGGCCTCGCATGTCCTTTTTACATTTCAAAACCAGTTATGCCTTCCCAACAGTCCCCCAGAGTCACAACTCATTCTAGCATTAACTCAGAAGTCCCAAGTCCAAAGTCTCATATGAGACGAGGTAAATCCCTTATGCCTATGAACCTGTAAAATAAAAAAGAAGTTAGTTACTTCCAAGATACAGTGGGGGTACAGGCATTCCAAATGGGAGAAATTGGCCAAAACAAAGGTGCTACAGGCCCTGGGCAAGTCTGAAACCCAGCAGGGCAGTCTTTAAATCTTGAAGCTCCAAAATAATCTTCTTTGACTCCATGTCTCACATCCAGGGCATGCTGATACAACAGGTGGACTCCCAAGGCCATGGTGGACTCCATCACTATGGCTGTGGTGGGTACAGCCCCCATGGCTGCTTTCATGTGCTGATGTTGAGCACCTGAGGCTTTTCCATGTGCATGGTGCAAGCTGTTGGTGGATCTACCATTCTGGGGTCTGAAGGATGGTGGCTCTCTTCTTTCAGCCCCACTAGGCAGTATTCCAGTAGGGACTCTGTGTCGGAGCTCCATCCTCCTCACATTTCTCTTCCCTACTGCCCTAGTAGAGGTTCTCCATGAGGGCTCTGCCCCTGCAGCAGATTTCTGCCTGGACATCTAGGCATTTCCATACATCTTCTGAAATCTAGGTGGTTTGGGAATCAGAGGTTACCAAACCTCAGTTCTTGGCTTCTGCATACCCATAGGCCCAATACCACATGGAAGCTACCAAGTTGTGGGGCTTGCACCCTCTAAAACCATGGCCCAAGATGTATCTTGGCTCCTTTTAGACGTGGCTGGAGCTGCAACAGCTGAGATGCAGAGTGCCATGTCCCAAGACTGCACAGAGCAGCAGGGCCCTGGGCCCAGCTCACAAAACCATTTTTCCCTCCTAGGCCTCTGGGCCTGTTAATTTAACATTTGGCTTCCATGCATATTTCTGCAACCAGCTTGAATTTTTCCCCAGGAAATGAGTTTGTCTTTTCTACTGCATGGTCAGGCTGCAAATATTCCAAACTCTATGCTCTGCTCCCTTTTAAATATAAATTCCAATTTCAGACCATCTCTTTCTTCATGCATATGAGTGTACACTTTTAGAAACAGCCAGAACACCTCCTTTTTTTTTGGAAACAGTCTTGCTCGCTCTCTTAGGCTGTAGTGCAGTGGCATGATTTTGGCTCACTGCAACCTCCTCCTCCCCAGGTTCAACCAGTTCTCCTGCCTCAGCCTCTCGAGTACCTGGTACTACAGGTATGTGCTATCATGCCTGGCTAAGTTTTGTATTTTTAGTAGAGACAGGGTTTCACCTTGTTGGCCATCCTGACCTCCAGTGATCCAGCCACTTTGGCCTCCCAAAGTGCTGGGATTACAGACATGAGCCACTGCACCTGGCCCAGGCCACCCCTTGAATGCTTTGCTGCTTAGAAATTTCTTCTGCCAGATAACCTAAATCATCTTAAGTTAAAGTTCCACAGATCTCTAGGGCAGGAGCAAAATGTTGCCAGTCTCTGCTAAAAGCATAGCAAGAATGAGTTATTCCAAATAAGAGTGACTCCATTTCCCAGTAAGTTCCTTATCTCCACGTGAGACCTCTTCAGCCTGTACTTCGTTGTCTGTATCACTGTCAACATTTTGGTCAAAACCATTCAATAAGTCTCTAGGAAGTTCCAGACTTTCCCACATCTTCCTGTCTTTTTCTAAGCCATCCAGACTGTCCCAACCTCTGCCTATTATCCACTTCCAAAGTCGCTTCCACATTTTCAGGTATAGATGGAGTCTGACTCTGTCACCAGGCTGGTGTGCAGTGGCACAGTCTCAGCTCACTGCAGCCTCCAGCTCCCAAGTGACTCTCTTGCCTCAGCCTCTGGAGCACCTGGGATTATAGAGTTTTGCCACCACACTCATCTAATTTTTATATTTTTAGTATATAAGTTTCACTATGTGGGCCAGGCTGGTCTCAAACCCCTGACCTCAAGTGATCCACCCGCCTCAGCCTTCCAAAGTGCTGGGATTACAGGTGTGAGCCACTGTACCCTTCCATTTTCAGGTATCCTTATAGCAGTACCCCACTCTGGTACCAATTTTTTATATTAGTTTGTTTTCATACTGCTCTAAAGAACAACCTAAGACTGGGTAATTTATGAAGAAAAGAGGTATAATTGACTTATGATTCCACATGGCTGGGGAAGCCTCAGGAAACTTGTGGCTGAAGGCAAACAGGAAGCAAGACATGTCTTACATGGCAGCAGGAGAGAGAGCAAGAGGGGAAGTGCCACACTTTTGAACAACCAGATCTCGTGAAAACTCACTATCACAAGAACAGCGAGGGGGAAATCCACCCCCATGATCCAGTCACCTGTCACCAGGTCCTTCCCCTGACACGTGGGGATTACAGTTTGACTTCACATTTGGGTTGGGACACAGCCAAAGCATATCATCACTGTACACATCATGCTCTGCTTTTTTAGTTCTTAGGAAACAAAGGCAATGTTTTTTAATTATTGCTGTTTACAGACATTTTGACTTATCGGCACTTATTGATACACATTCAAAATTTTACTTTTGCTTTAGCAAAAGAAAGTGAAGACAAGGAAAACCTTCCGAAAAGGACATCTCCTGGTGGCTTTAAATTTACTTTCTCCCACTCTGCCAGTGCTGCTAATGGAACAAACAGTAAATCTGTAGTAGCTCAGACACCACCAGCAACTTCTAATGGATCCTCCTCCAAAACTACAAACTTGGCTACATCAGTAACAGCCACCAAGGTAGGTGAAACAGCATTACATGCAAAGTTTGCTTTTCCTGTCTGTGAGATTATTTCTTCTTTACAAAAGAAAATTTGGATAATCAAAACAATTTCAGTGATGGAAAAATGTTACATACATTTTTATCAGAGAACATGACAGCTAATATTTTGATTTCTCAGGTCTGAGTTTATCTGGCATGTAATTGAGATCCTTCTATAAACATAATTTTGTATTCTGCTTTTATTTGTTAGAAGAATTTTTCTGTTATCAAAACGTTGATGATTGAGAATTTCATTTCATTTTATTTTTTTGAGACAGAGTCTTATTCTGTCAGCAAGCTGGAGTGCAGTGGCACGATCTTGGCTCACTGCAACCTGCACCTCCCAGGTTCAAGTGATTATCCTGCCTCAGCCTCCCAAGTAGCTGGGACTACAAGCACATGCCACCACACCCAGCTAATTTTTATATGTTTAGTAGAGACAGGATTTCACCATGTTGGCCATGATGGTCTCCATCTCTTAACCTCATTAGCCACCTACCTCGGCCTCCCAAAGAGAATTTCATTTTATTTAGGCTTATGATAATAAATGTAAGTATCCTTCCTCCTTGTCCCCCATTCTGTTTTGGAGCACTTAAGTTGATTCTGATATTTCACTGACTACTTAGTGTTATTGCACTTTTAATTATTTTCTTGGATAGATGAGTAGTAGAATGTCTTCATACATACGATCAAATTCATCTTCATAAAGTCTATGCTAATTTATGTTACCATAAATTGTGTATGTGCCTAGCTAATTGCAGCTTTGCAAGTGCTATAATTATTTTTAGTGTTTGCCAGTTAGGTAGGGGAGACAGTATATAATATCTCATTTCCATTCGTATATACTTTGTTAGTAGTAAGGTTGAATATTAGCCTTTTGAATTTGCTCTTCTCAGCAAATTGGATATTATTATTGATGAATCTTTCGTTAAGGATATTAAACTTTCTGTTGTTCTTATAACAAATGTATTTGCATTGTTACCTCTTTTTTTATAAACAAGTTTAAATTTCATATGAAACATTTTTCTTGTTCATATGTTATATGAAACCATTCTTTTTCCCCATAAAGGAGTGGCTTAAAATAAAAAGACATAAATATGGGACAACTATTGTATAAGGGTAGAAAGACAAGAAGAAATGGCATGGTAGTACAAACCAAACTGAAGGAATGCATCTTGTTTTCAACACAAAAGTATGAGTTTATTTCACAAAAATATAGAATCTTCATTCACTAGTATAGTAAGCTAGGCTCTTGACTAAAGAACACGTAAGTAGCATTTTCATGGTGTTCTGTATTTGAAACACATTTTATGTTTTTTAACTGGAAAATCTTAAAATTTTCAACTTCGTGATAGGACAAATTAGAGTAATATTGCAACATTACATTAAGAGTGTTTGGTCTGGGCACAGTGGCTTACTGTGATCCTAGCAGTATGAGAGGCCAAGGGAGGAGGGTCACTTGAGCCCAGGAGTCTAAGACCAGTCTGAGCCATAAGGTGAGACCCCATCTCTACAAAAAATATTTTAAAAGTAGCTGGGTATGGTGGCACACACCTGTGGTCCCAGCCTCTCCTGAGGCAGGAGAATCCGTTGAGCCTGGGAGATGGAGACTTCAGTGAACCGTGATCTCACCAGTGTACTCCAGCCTGAGCAAGAGAATGAGACCGTATCTCAAAAAAAAAAAAAAAAAAAAATGCCATAGAGTTGCATTGTTTGGGTTCAAATGTTGGCTCTGCCTCTTTCTAGCTGTTTCACCTTAAATAAATAAATTAATCTCTCTGAGCCTTAGCCTGCCTGCCTGCCTGCCTTCCTGCTTCCCTTTTGTTGCTGTTGGTATTGGGACAGGGTCTCACTCTGTCACCCATCTTGGAGTGCAGTGGTGCAGTCACAGCTCACAGTCTCCCTTACTTCCTGGGCTCAACTGATCCTCCCACCTCAGCCTCCCAAGTAGCTGGAAATGCAGGTGCATGCCACCGTGCCTGGCTAATTTTTGTATTTTTGGTAGAGTTGGAGATGGGGTTTCGCTGTGTTGCCTAGGCTGGTCTCAGACTGCTGTGCTCAAGCAATCCTCCCACTTCAGCCTCCCAAAGTGTTGGGATTAACAGGTGTCAGCCATCATGCCCAGCTGGCTTTCTTGTTTTAAAAAGGGATGAGACTTACTTTATAAGCTTGTTAGGAAGATTAAACTATTTAGCAAAGGTAAAATGCTTAGAACACTGCTTGATGCCTTCTTAATATATGTTAGCTTATTTTTAATCAAAGTAATACATGTACTTACTTTCAAAAGTCAAATATTACCAAAAGTCAAGTTTATATTAGAAAAAAAACAGTGTCTCTGTTCCCTTCCACAAAGATATCTTTGAACTCATTTAGCTATATGTCTTCTATTTCTGAATAATATGTCAATACTGCTATGTTGCTTTACCTAGCTTAGACATTATTTATTTCTTGCTAGATAGGTGAGAATTTAGTTTTTTTATGTATACACATAAATTGAATGCTCCTTAACACATCCTCACCTTATTCCTCCCTGTATCGCAATTTTTTATAAAAACATTTGATAATTTTATGGTTATGACAATATAGTTTTGTTTCTGTTTTTTCTATACTGTTTTTCTTATAACTTTTCACTTCTTCTAGAGTAAGTAATTGCCACTGTTTTTTCATTTGTTGCACTAGTTATGTGCCTCTGCTAATTCTTTCAGTACCTTACCAGACTAGGTTTCATATAGTCTCCTCTTGGAGACATCTCTCTTCAAGCCTCTTCTCCCATCCCGTTCCAGCCTAGATTGGTTGCTGTCTAAACTTCCCACACAACTGTTATCTTGGGACTTCCTTGGCCAACATCCTAAGATTTCCTTTTGCCTCTCTCCTTCCTTCCACTGTTTATTTCCTGAATCTCGTGTCTCTGTTCTCTTTTTTGATTTTCTTTCTCATTTTGGTGGGGCAAATTCTGTAGCAGTTTACTGAGGGAAAAAAAATCCCATGAGAGGTAAAATTTGAAACCTTGCATGTATGAAAATGTCTTTATTCTTTTCCAAAAGAAAGAACATTGGGGGGAAAAGGGAAAATTTTAAAAATTAAAAAGAAAATGTCTTTATTCAAACCTCACACTGGATTATTTAGCTGAATGCAGAACCAGATCAGAAATCATTTTCTCTCGGAAATTTGAAGTTATTGCTGTCAAGAAGTCCAAAGACATTCTTATTTCTGATCTTTTCTGTGTGATTTTCTTCTTCCTGGAAGCGTCTGGGGTTTTATTTCTGCATTCTGAAACTTGATGATGATGTACTTGGAGCATTCCTCAGTTAAAAAGTCATGTCCTGGCCGGGCGCAGTGGCTCACGCTTGTAATCCCAGCACTTTGGGAGGCCGAGGTGGGTGGACCACCTGAGGTCAGGAGTTCAAGACCAGCCTGACTAACATGGAGAAACCCCGTCTCTACTAAAAATACAAAATTAGCTGGGCTTGGTGGCACATGACTATAATCCTAGCTACTTGGGAGGGTGAGGCAGGAGAATTGCTTGAACCCAGGAGGTGGAGGTTGCAGTGTGTTGAGATTGTGCCATTGTCCTCCAGCCTGAGCAACAAGAGCAAAACTCTGTCTCAAAAAAACAAAAAAAGTCATGTCCTTAAGTTTTAGAATATTTCAAGCTCTTTCTTTCACTATAACTTACTGTTTGGATGGAGTCTTCTGGATTGAAAGTAATTTTCATACCTTTTCTATCCTACTAATTTTTTTTTCCTGTTACATTTTGTGTGATATTTCTCTGAGTTTTTGCCTTTTCAGATAATTTACTTGTAAATGAGCAAAATTAAATGCAAGCACCAACACCTTTTCCACTCTTCTTGACGCTAACAGCAGATTACAAAATTCATCTGTTATATAACCTTTTTAGAAATAAGAATGTAAACGTTGTTCTTGGAAAACATTTGCTCAATCACTGTAGACACAGAATTTTGAAATTAAGCAAGATAGGCATTGACCGAAGTTAAGCACCACTTTAATTTGCTCTCAGCCTTCTTAAACCATGCCCACATTCCTAAGTGGTGGCAGATTCTTATCACCAATTGCCCTTTGATTTATCCAATTTCACCAATAGTGTTAATTGTCATAATTGAAGCCTGGCTAGACATTAGCTGCTAATGAATTTAAACAAAAGATTTGTTTGTATGATATAAATGTCATAAAGACACAAAATACTTCTTTAGTTGTAAAACTGTAAAACATGCATATTTTCTGTGAGGAAAAATTCAAAATCAGAATGAGAAGCATTTGTGGATGCTAAAATAAATACTTGTCGCAGATTCACAGCAGAGAAACCTGTTATCTGGCATTTTTATGTAACAGATTTATCTTGGTAAGCTCTTCCTATTAGGACATTAAGAAATTCCTTGCATAGAATTCAAAAGTATGGATATATTTTAATTTATATTTAGCCTCTGTCGATGGGCATTAAAGTTGTTTCCAGCTTTTTGTAGTTATAATCATTGGTGCAATATGTGACCACCTACATATTTCATATACATATATATTTCTGTATAGTACTTGCATTTATTATAATGTGCTGGGATTACAGGTGTGCCATACCATGCCTGACTGATTTTTGTATTTTCAGTAGGGATGGGGTTTCACCATGTTGGGCAGGCTAGTCAGGAACTCCTGGCCCCAAGTGATTCACCCATCTCAGACTCCCAAAGTGCTTTTTCATAGGTTACTATTGTCATTTATTTTGATCCCTTCTTTCATATTGGGAATTTTACTTAAGTGGTACTCTTCGGATTTCCTTTCATACAAAAAAAATAAAATAAAGATTTTAATAAGAGTGCCAAGACAATTTGATGGGGAAAAATAGTTTTTTCAATAGATGTTACAACTGGATATCCACATGCAGAAGAATGAAGTTGGATCCCTATCTCACATCATGTACAAAACTCCTCTCAAAATGGATGAAAGATCTAAACATAAAAGTTAAAAG